CTTCAAACCATGATGGAGGCCAGGTAAAGGAGACAGGAGGAGGCTGTGTCTTGAGGTTCCAACAGAAGAAGGTTTATTGGTTGAAGGGATCAGGAGCAGAAGAGCCCCAAGCGCTGCTGTGCTTGAGTTTAAATACAGTAATGTCATTATAGTGCAAGAGTTCTATTGTCATTACATTGCAAGGGTTCCATATTGCTAGAGTTTTGTACGTCCTTGATGTTTCTCATAGGCACCTCCTCTAGGCACTGACTCTTCCGTGTCCTCACAGCAGCCAACTGACTCCAGTTCCCCACAACCAGCCAATCCACTCTTTTATAACACTCTTCTTATTGGCTACAGGTGTGGCCTGTTAAAATCAGGCCTGCTCCTAATCTTTAATAATTAACCCAGCTGCAACTCTTTTTAGGGGATAAGATTACTTTCTATACTACCTTTATTTACTTATATTCTATTCCCCTACACAGTAACAAACTGGATGGGAGGATACAGACAGGCATCTAAGGGGGAATCCTTGGGGGAGGAGTGAGGGGATTAGGTCACTTGCTTGGGGCCAGTTGGGGCAGGTGGGAGGAGAGGGCAGGTCACATGGGCCCCTGGGACATCCAGGTTTTGGGGAATTCCAGAGGGGTGGCACGATCAGGGATGGGTTCAAGGTGGGAATGACAAGGGAGACTCAGGAACAAGGGGCAGGGCAACACTGCAAGGCAGGTGGAACAAAGGGCAGGGAATACCACAAAGGGCAGCTTCAGGGCTGGATACAACTCAGAGACAAGCCAGCTTGGGGAAAATACAGGGGTGCATTGGAACAAACTACCAACGTTAACAATGTACTAATAAAATAAACATGGGCCACAATAGTTAATTAAACAACTGGCAATAAATCGTTAGTTGTCAGCTTGTCTTGGTTGGAAAGACAGGTGTCTGTGGGACCTCTCTGGAATGGAGAATGTGACCTCCTTCCCTCCAAATTATTATAACTGAAATTAAGGGGCTTTCAGGCAAAGATATGGGAAAAGGAGTAGCAGTTCTTTACTAGCATGTAAGGCAAACAAAACCAACACTGGCAGCAACAACAAACAGAACCAGATACCCAACCTTCCCTCGGCTGCAGGCACTTCCCCTTTGCTGTAGTTCTGGTCACAGCTGTGCAGGGAAGGGAGGCAGATAATGAATAAAGCAATTACTAGAGAAATTTTAATTAAGCTACACCAAGGAATACACTGGAGAGCTCAAGCACTGTGTGATCAGTTCGGAAGAACTTATTGCTGTGAGGGAATCTATACAGGAATCAAACAGAGACTGAACAATGTTGTTAAAATTTGTTAAAAGGTAAATAAGAAAGTGATGAGAAAATACCCCAGTGAGGGAAGAGCCCTAGCCCTTAGACCCTTTCAAAATATGCAAATAAATTACACTGAGTTCCCCAGAATACAGAGATGGAAATACCTTCTTGTAATAATTGATCACCTCACCCACGGGGTAGAAGCCTTTCCTACCTCAACTGCAACTGCCTCCAAAGTGGCTAAGATGCTATTAGAACAAACATTCCCAGATATGGGATAATGAAAGAATAGACTCAGAGAAGGGAACACACTTCAGAAATTTTGCATTCTATATGTGTTGAATTAGACATAAATTGGAGATTTCATACCCCGTGGCACCCTCAAGGCTCTGGATGTGTGGAGAGAATGAATGCTATCCTTAAGAACCATATTACCAAATTCATGATTGAAAGCAGATTAGCACTATTACGGATCAGAACTGCTCCAAGTAAGGACATAGGAGTTTCTCCCAATGAAATGTTACTTGGGTTACCTTATCTGGGAAGGGAGGAGGGGTTGCCAATGGCTGAAACTAATGACTTAGATCTCAGAAATCATTTGCAGGCAATTGCACTCTCTCTCATGGATCTTAGAAGAAAAGAGTTGTTACCCCAAACATCACTCTAGACTTTCACATACGCCAGGTAAAACCAGGAGATTGGGTTCTAATAAACTTGGAATGATGATACCTTAACAGCAGCGTGGGAAGGTCCCTTTCAGGTACTTTTAACAACTGAAACAGTTGCCAGGACTGCAGAAAAGCTCTCACGCCTCTCAAGTCAAAGGGCCAAGTGGAAGCTCCTCCCCAAACTTGGACAGTGGTACAAGGAAGTGACCCTTAAAAGTTAATCTTCAAAAGATGATTTAATAGTGAACAGTCAAGGGCAAGACTGGACTGACCTCTGTATTTGCCACCTGAGAGCCTTTTGTTCCACTGTGGGCTGCAACCCCTTGGGTGTTGAGCAGTGGGAATATGAGGCAAACCAGACTGACAAAAGAGGAATAGGAAATGATGTTCTAAGACTCTGCAAATTGCTGGATGGAGTGTCATGGCTTCTATGCTTCACCTCTGCATTCCTGCAGTGTGCTGTTCTAGTGCACAGAACTCGGGAAGCAGGTATGGATACCGAGGAAGGTAACCTTTGGTGCTACAGTCACCCTCTGAGGTTTGCATCGTCCCAGCAAGCACGGATGGAACTGCTCATGGCAGGCACTGCACACAAGCGTATCTACATCCTACTTTGCTTGAGTTGGAGGAGAACTATGGACAGCAACCAGAACTGACAAATCAGGAACCTTTAAATAGACTGAATTTAACACCGACCTAAGAAAAGATGGATTAATCTTATTTATAACTGCTTCACAAAAGGAGCCAGTTTGTGCTGACCAGATGGGGTAATTAAACCAAGGGCTTCAGCAAAAACAGGATAATAAAAGGAAAGAGTGGATTGTGAGAGATGAGGTGAGATTTTGCTGAAGCCAAAGGTTGTTAGGTTAAAGAATGAAAGGTGTTGGTTTTATGTGGTGTTGTTTGGATTTGTTCTGGTTGGTTTGTTGAGTGTTGCTGTGAGCTGGGAGAGGGGTGGGGTTGGAGACCTGACTAAAAAGAAGTGGGATGAGAGGGGTGGGGACCATAAATTTGCAGATGACAGCAAGTTGGGAGCATGTGCCTATCTGTTGGAGGGTAGGAGGGCTCTGCACAGGGCCCTGGACAGGCTGGATCCAGAACCCAAATCCAACAAGGTGAGGTTTAACAAGTCCCAGTACTGGGTCCTGCACCTCGGCCACAACAACCCCTGCAGCGCTACAGGCTGGGGACAGAGTGGCTGGGCAGTGCCCAGGCACAAAGGGACCTGGGGGCACTGCTCAACAGCAACTGAACATGAGCCAGCAGAGTGCCCTGGGGGCCAAGAAGGCCAATGGCTCCTGGCCTGTGTCAGGAATGGTGTGGCCAGCAGGAGCAGGGAGATCATCCTTCCCCTGTACTGGCACTGGTGAGGGCACACCTTGAGTGCTGTGTCCAGTCTGGCCCCCAGTTTAGGAAGGATGTTGAGATGCTCAAGCGTGTCCAGAGCAGGCAACAATGCTGGTGAAGGGCCTGGAACACAAACCCTATGAAGAAAGGCTGAGGGAGCTGGGGGTGTTCAGCTTGGAGAAAAGGAGACTCAGGAGAGTTTATCACTCTCTACAACTCCCTGAAAGGTGGTTGGAGACAGGTGGGGGTCAGTCTGCTCCCAGGCAACAAGTGACAGAATGAGAGGACCCAGTCTTAAGCTGCATCAGGGGAAGTTTAGATTAGATGTTAGAAAAAAAATTCTTCACTGAAGGAGTGACAGCACACTAGAATCGCCTGCCCAGCGAGGTGGTGGAGTTGCCAACCCCGGACATGTTTAAAAAAAGAGTAGATGTGGCATTCAGTGCCATGGTTTAGTTGATGAGGAGCTGTTAGGTCATCGGTTGAACTAGATGGTCTTAAAGGTCTTTTCCAACCTAATTCATTCTGTGATTCTGTGAAAAATTGGCCGTCGGGAGAGAATGGAAGTTCCTGTGGAATACCCATCCAATGGCAAAGGAGATAGGGACAGCCCCGGCCAGGAAAGGGTATAAAAAGAAGCCATTTTCTCAGGGGTTGGGTGTCTTGGTCTGTTGGGCAAGGGCAGCACACACCTGGCTTGTTACTAATAGAGTATTCTTTTGCTTCAACCATTTGTCCCCACTGAACTGTATCTAAAGGTCAGTGCATTTCAACACCATGGAGGTGGAATAAGGTGATCTTTAAGGTCCCGTCCACGTTCTGTGGAAGGGACCTCCTATGGTTCCTCCCCTCCCACCTATGGTTCTGTGACTGGTCACGAATGCAGCTCTTTCACGGTCCTTCTCCCACTGCGAGCCCCTCTGGTGCCGGAGTTCAGGCGGGACTGGACAGAATCGATGGAGCCTTCGCATGTCTGGGGCAGCGCGGCCCCGCAGCTCCCGGCGCAGGGACAGGCCCGGAGGGGGAAAGGGAACTGTGAAAAACGCCAATCACTTGTTTTTAAAATTTTAAAACTTTAATAGTAATGGTTATAAAAATAGTAATACAATTAGAGTAATAATAATTTGGACAATTTGAATTAGGACAATATGGGACAACAAATACCAAGAATTACGGACGTCTGGGTACCTTTTCTGGGCAGCACAAGCTTGAAAAAGGACACCCGTTAACAAAGGATTAACCCTTAAAAGCAACAGTCTGTTGCATATTCATACACTTCATACATGATGCATAAATTCCATTCAAACACAGGATTCTGTCTGGTCATCATCAACTTCTTCCTCTGAATCCTAACAGCACCTTTGAGGCAGGAAGAAGTTAATTTCTCCTGATAAGAGGGCAGTAAATTCTTTTTCTCTGAAAGATTTAGCTGTCCTGTGGCTGCTGTCTTGCTGCGAGTCCTTTCTTTAAAAAAAAGTATCCTACACAGCATAGTTTCTATTTTAACACTTTTTATAACCTAAAACTATATTTAACACACTACTTAAGCGAATTAACACAGCATTACTTTCTAACACAACACATATAATAATCATTCTAACACTTGCGAAAAGCCAATCACAAAAGACGAGCATTTTCCACAGGAACGATCGAGCGCTGAGTGGCGGAGCCGCGGCCGCGCCGGGCCGGGGGCGGTGCCGGGGATGGCGGCGGAGCGGGAGGAGCCGGGCCCCGCTGCCGGGGCCTGTCCGTGCCCGGGGGATGAGCGGGGCACGGCCGGAGGCTGCCGGTGCTCCGCTCTGCCCGCTCCTGGGCACGGGGCCATGGAGAAGGCCCGGCAGCACCTGAGGGAGTTCGATATCGGGGACAGGTTCTCCCGCCTGCCGCTGCCCAGAGCCGCCGTGCTGCTGCCGCTGATGGTGCGAGGGGGGCGGCTGCACCTGCTGCTCACCGTCCGCTCCCTGCAGGTACCGGGGGGCTCCGAGGGGCGCGATCCTTCCGGGGACCATCGGTGGCAGCTGCGCACCCCAGTCCCCCCTTGTTCCCGCCCTTGTGCCCAAGGGCACGGCCGGGTGTTTTTCCACTCTGTGGCTCTGGTGTTTGCGTGCCAGGAACACGCCGGGATCCCGGAAACCCGTGACGGGAAATTAACATTTGCCCAGTCGGCAGTGGTTGCTTACTTAAATAAGGAAACCGACCGTGGAGCGCAGCTTTGTTAAATGAGGCTTTTCAGTCTGCAGTTAATATTACTCTTTTCTCCCTTTAATATATAAAAGACAACAACCAAGGCTGCCAGAACTCTTTCTCCAGCATTTTGTTTTCTTCTACAACTCTTGTTTTTCATCCCTGTGTCACATCAACTGCCTGTACTCAGGAGTTACTTTTTTCTATTGCTGGGTCTTACTTAAAAAACAAATAATCACAGTTGCATAGCTGTTAAATTGATTGTAAATGTCTTTGTTACTGATCCTTGATGCACAAGCCTACTACTGGAATGTATTTAAAGGTATCTTAGAAATAACTCACTTTTTGATACAGTCAGGAGGGGACACAGTCTTTGAAGCAAAAACTAAATAATTTAATTTGTAATGAGTCAGCAGAGTCGGCTGTGTGTCTCCCTCCTCAAAGGCAAAAACACACACACACACTTTGACAAAATGGTGATCTTTTATCCTCTTTCGAGGCTGGGGCTGGTCCCTGTCCCCTTTCCCATTGAATGGCTACTCAGGAACTCAGGCTCTGCCGACTGCCAACTCTTCTGTCCCTTCCCTTCTCATCCTTTTTTCTTGTTTTGGTCATGTCATCAACCCTGGCCCTCTCCCAGTTCTCAACAACACCCAACAGATTAAACAAAACACATTTTAACCATAGATAACAACAGATAAGAACCAACCATTTTCATTCTTTTGCTCTGTAACCTTTTTGGGCTGAAGCAAAATGTTATTTCCTCTCTCACGGGTACTTTATTTAATTGTGTCTTTCAAAAGCTTTTGCTCTTAGAGTATTTTGATCTTGCTCTACAAGTTGTCTGTCTGGATTTATCTGCCAGCCATTTACATAAACAAGATGATGCAAAATGTGAACTTTGACATACTAAAGCAGAAGTTCTGGTATGAATTACACAATGCTGTACAGGTACAGGTTATTTTTTGATAGTGAGGATTTATGGATTAGCAGGGGATAACTATCTCAGCATTTTCTTAGGTAGCTACTCTTGCTAAGGCATGTTTCTTCTGGTCTGCAGAAACCTTAACCACCATTTCCAGCTTCTTTGACTGGAAAGATAAACATAAAGGGATGCTGCAATACCAACATGCATCTGTGTGGATCCAACAAGAAACATAAACTTTTTTACGTTTAACAGTAGTACTCCTTTACATTCTAGCTGAGAAGATCACCAGGGGAAGTCTGCTTTCCAGGAGGTAAAAGGGAAGACACTGATAAAGATGACATTGACACTGCTCTCCGAGAAGCTAAAGAAGAAGTGGGTCTTCAGCCAGAGAAGGTGGAAGTCATCTGTAGGCTGATGCCTGGAATTGATAAAGTAAGTCAGCATATCAGTACAGAATAAGTTTGGGTGCTTTTCTTCTGTGTGGCTGGCAGTGACCTTTGCAAACCTGGAACTGCCAAGAGGCGCCGCTTCTTCAGATGCACAGCCCGTGTGTCCAGCAGAGCCCAGGGCAAGGGTTCTTGCCCAGGGTTTGGTGTTTGTGAGAGCAGCTCTGGGGCACCAGTCAGTGGCTCTGGAGCACCACACAGACAGAGCTGCCCTGTGAGAGTTCAGCAGAGAGCCATGGGAGCAGTCACGGGGCTACAGCCAGTGGGTGATGGATGAGCAGCCAGGCTGAGACAGGTGGGCTTGCCCAGCTTGAAGGCTACCAGGGGATTTGGCTGCTTTCTTCTCCTGGGTGTCAGACAGGGGACAGTACCAGAACTCTTCTTGAGGCAATGGACACAGCAGCAGCATTGACATTTTGATGAGATGCAAGAAGGAAATTCTCTTCATCATGAGGTCAGCCCAGAAGTGGAGCAGATGTTCCTCACAGCTGTCTGGTTTGGTGTCTGGTGACTCCAGGGCTGTGCAGACAGAGAGGGAGCACCAGAGGGGATGTGCACCAGGTTGTGTGCATCATCTTCCTCTAGCAGGGGGACTCCCAGAGGTGTCTTTGGAGTGTAAGTCACCATTTGTAAATTAACAGGTTCTCAATTTCAGTAGCAGTGTTCAGTATTACATAGGGTCAGTTTTCCCACAGAACAGAGGAATTTCTGTTTCTGAAGATTATTTTTGTTTACCAGGTAGCACTTTATTACTATGCCTCCTGTTCTTCTATCTGATAGCAATATCCCCTCCCCATTAAAAATGGAAAGAACTACTTTTGAAATTTTATTGCAAAAAGCTTTATTTAAGCTTTATTTAACTTCTTAAATGATTGTACATTTTTGTACAGATAACCTTAAAGCCACATAGCTCAGAGGCAGTGTGCAGAAAGGATCAAATTTTCCCTCTTTTCCAGCCAATTACTTCAGTCAGTAGGAGAGATGGTGTGGGGTTTGGACCATGAACATTGTACATGTCAGAGGATACTCTGTCTGCTCAGTATATACATTCCAGGTGCTCCTGACTTGGACAGAATCTTTCCAGACTTGAATCAAATACCACAATCACTGTTTTCCTCTTCTCCTTTCTACAGGACAGTAGTCCTTGTTAGTGTGAACAAATAGAACTAGCAATGTATCCTAAAGAATTTTGGTGTTCTGTTGATGCAAGATTTCAGTGATTTTCCCTTCCCATGGAAGCAGGGATTACATTTAGAATTAAAATGTCCACACATAAAGTGTTTCAAAAAGTGTTACATTTTATGGCTAAATACATTGCAATAATATTTCTGTACCTATAGAAAAATATTTCCATATTCTGGAAAATTCCTAAATCCCAGGAAAACAATACAGAAATATGATCTATGATAGGGAAAATCTGGATTAAAATCAGAATTTAAAAACATCAATAAGGAAGACTCATGGGAAAGCATGCATGCTTTTGTACTTCTGTAGCAAACTGGCAAGCCTTTTTTAACTGCTCTGTGATTATACCGGATGAACAGAGTATTTGTAAAGTCATTTTTGACAATACAAAAATATGACTTCAGATTCCTCAAGTCAAATTACATAGATTGCCATTAGGTGGACTAAATTGCATTGCAGTTGAAAACAGTTCATAGGCTTCTTGTACTCATTTTGTAACAATGAAATGTTTTTTTAAGTAATGAACATTTTTACTCAGTACAAACATAAGTGTATGAGGGTTTTGTTGATTTTTTAAAATTTAGTTATTTACTGGGATTTTTTTTCTCTCTCTCTTTTTAGATGAATAACTTGGTGACACCAGTTGTAGGATTTATAGAGGATACATTCCAGGTCACTCCTAACCCAGATGAAGTCAGCGAGGTTTTTGTTGTGCCTTTGGAGTACTTTGTCAAGCCCTTAAATTACAAGACCTTCTCTTATAAAACCTCCTCAGGGTACTCAACTCGCATACACTGCTTTATATACCATGACCAGGAACACAGAAAGTCATTCAAGATATGGGGACTGACTGCACACTTTGCTGTGTTTCTTGCTCTTGTAATTTTTGGAGAGAGACCTACCTTTGAAGTGGATTATGATCTTGACAACTTATTTTCATCCTCTGAGAATTACTTCACTAATTTGTATGCATCTATACATGAAAGAAAGAAGAGTAATCTGTGACAATTGGTCTGGCCATGAATTTATTTTGAAAGAGGAAAAGGAGGTTGGTTCATTTCCTTTGTACCTACTTTTTGAAAGCTACACTTGAATCTCATCGGAATTAGGAACTTGAAGATGATGATCCCTAACTAGATTAATACAATTTTTAATCTAAGAGCTGTGAGAAGCACACAATATTTTTTATGAAACAGATTTTTAAAAGGTCTGTTTCAGTTCTTTCTCAGTTTCAGTGCCTTTCTTCTGTGTGATCAGAGATACTTTCTGTGCTTTCCTTTGTCTATAATGAGATAATATTATTTGATGGAATTTGTGTCTGAGTTAACCTAGGAAAACTTTCAGGGATTTATCTGCCTCTTACATGTGCCATGCATGGACAACATGATCCATATTATCCATACAGTCTTGTGTGGTATCTTTGAGCACTTACAGAATGCACAATAAAAATACAAAAGGTTTCAGGTGCTTTCACAATCTTTTTTTGTTTTGCTTGGGCTTGTGGAGGGAAGAGGGCAGGTCAATATGTGCAACAAATTTTGGCTAATTTCAACATTTCTCACAAGGCAATTCCATAGGCTGTGGAAAACTCAGGATACAGGCAACAGGACTGAAGTCTGTCCCTCACCATCTTGTTCTCAAATCTCACTCAGCTGCTGGCAGGAGCCTTCTCCAGGACAGAAAAGTGGAGGTGAGGATTCACTAGGACAACCTACCAAATACAGAACAACAGAGAGGGGTTCAGAACCTACAAAACAGCCCCTGAAGAATCATCAGAGACCAACAGTGCACAGCAAGAGCCTCTGAACAGTTAATGACTGAATGCTCCATGCCAAACTCACTGAAACCTGAAGATAGAGCAGGACAAATTTGAGTCAAGAAGTTGTTAAAAAAATTAATCCACAAACTGTTGCAGTGTGTTTTGTTAAGTTATTAGGTTGGTTTGTTCCAATCCCCTTCTGTCTGAAAATGGTTCTGCCCCAGTTCTCCCTTCCCGCCTTTGGAGCTGTCTGTCTCCCTGGCTCCACCCCAGCCAACAATGTATCCCCTAAACTCCGCCCTGGTTTCCCTGGAAACCCTTGGATCTTTTCTTCTGATCCCTCCCCAGTGCCCCGCCAATCACTCTCACTGCCCGCCCTTACTGCTAGAATGTTCCAGCAGGGGAGTTCGATGGTTGGCTGAGGGACCGGGGCCCCTCCCCAGAATGTTCCCCGTTGGTGCTGCCCACGTGTCAATCCCTTGGACCCCACTCCCCACTGCACCCCCATTGGCCCAATGCCCGGCACCTCCCTTGTTCTCCCTACCCCTTAAAACTTGCTGTCCCCCCCTCCCCCCGTCTCCTCCTGTCGGTCCCTCCGGGGTTCATTAAAGCCCGGATTAAGCCACAGTTGGAGTCCGCCCTCTTCTTTCCGCTGGCTGCGGCCTTTACCAGACTCCGTCCTGCTCAAGGTGTGCCTGCAGCCGCAAGCCGGGCACTGCCTCAGGCGCTATCCCGAAGGCAGCTCTCGGGAAAAGGGCCCCTCGTGCTGCTGGCAGTGCTGGAGCCAGCCAGACGCTGACAGTTGAGTTGCACTGCTGCAACAAACACCAGAGGTTTATGTCCAAAAAGGAGACAGAGGAGTCCTTTTTGTTTATTTGAATAGAGGGAGAGGCCATGGGGCATTGCCCTGGGGTCTCCAATTTTTGGAGGATGCAGCCTCCCTTTTTATCCCAATTTCCAGCCACATTTCCCTTCTCTCTTTCCCCCTTGGCTGAGGTACTTGAGAGGTTCAGACTTCCTGATACACCTGATACCAAAGATTTCCCTCTAAGGTATAACCCTCCCTTTTAATTTTTAATTCTTATGGAATTTAGGGGGTTTTCTTCCCCATTGTTTCTTTCATCTTTCAATGTCAAATTTCATTTTTCAGCAAACCTAAAGTTTATTTGTAAAAGCAAATATCTTTTTTCATTCATCAATCAGTGGAATCCTTCCCATTGTTTCTTTTATCTCTCAGTGCCAGTTTTATCTACCAGCAGACCCACAGCTTCTTTGTAAAGACAAATCCACTATTCCTCTCAAAATCAATTACCATGATAGCACAATCTGGCAAGTATGTGATCACAGCTAGAAATCCCCATTCCTTGGCACAACTGGCATGTGTGCAGTGAGTTGGGAGCCAGTGAGCTGCAAAAATGGGTGCTGGTGGGGATGCTCCTCTTGATAACCTCAGCAGCAAAGTGGCACAAGTTGGAGCAGTGATTTTCACTTTAGAACACCTTTGCCTTTGGGAGTGCACCTCACAGAGGCTGCTCCTCTGGAGTTGGAAATCCCATTATGGATGGGAAAGCATCCAGAAGGTCGAGGAAGAGCATCAGGCCGAGCCCTGCAGGGCTCCCTTGCATCTGGCAAGGAGCAAGTGCTGAAAGGCTCCTGCCCCCCTCCTCCTGTGTCACTTGAGCTCCTTGCATGCCCCAGCAGCTTCCTGGTGCCTCTGGCTGCAGATCCAGCTGAGATCCACTCGTGTCCAGAGATAAAATCCTCACGTAGCTCCACAGGGGCTTTGTTGCTTTGTCCCTGTGAGTTCTGCAGTGCCAAAGTCTGTAAACCTGCAGGTTTCTGGCCAAAGCTGCTCGTATTATATTAGACCTGCTTCTCTTTTATACTGCATTGACAATATGTAGATACTATATTAGCAGTCAGTTTAGTCATAATGAGCCACATAATCAGTGCCATACATCTCACACCTGACCAAGAGTGTTCTCTCTGAGCCTGCCACAATCCCCAGTGTTATCTGGGCCAAAGTACACCAAGGTGACGTGGTTGCTATCAGACTGTCATCCATGACCATCCTAAGGGTGTCCCTAGCTTCATGATGGGGGTTTAGAGCATTAGCTCTCCAATTCCAGTGGCAAGGGACATGGTGGGACTTCAAGCAGTGGTTAAGGGTGGCTCTAAAAGCTCCAGGTGCTTCCCACAGGTGGAAAGGATCCAGTTCTCTGTCCAGAAAAGCTTCATCTGGGAGAAGAGGAAGACTTTGCAGGATCTCATGGAGTTTGCACCATGCCTGAGCAGAGCCCAGCCTTCACAGATCTCTTCCCATAAGTCATTCCTTTCCCTGCTTTATTGGTAAACAAGGTGTGCCAATGCCAATCCTCGAGGTTCTTATGGCTCAGTAGGTTCTTCAAAGAGCTTCCCAGTTTCCCTTGGTCTTCTCAAGGTTTGTCTTCTGAAGAATATTTGGATGATTCAGTTTCTTTATCCTCAGCTGAAACCTCAAGGTTGGCAGTATCACTGGAGAAGAAACCACATCATTCCCATCATACACGTATAGAAATTGCCTTTTTTTTGAAATAATATTTTTTTCCGCTTAACATCTGTATTCCAGAACAGGAGAGAAATGCTTTGTGGAATCATACACCAATAAAAAATGAGGGCTATCATGAATAAGGCCATTTGGAGATCACAAAGTTCACCAGTTCAGTTGCCCTTCTTGCCATTTACACAGCAAATGAAGAAGAGTTTGCTGGTGCTTGGTCCTTCACTGACTCTGGATATTCTGCTCACTTTCTAGGTATAAACACTTGAATACAAATATTTCTCCCAGTTACAAAAGAGAACACACCACGAGCTCTCCAAATTCAGCAAGTGGCCCAGAAATCTTGTAATCTGATTATGGCAGTACCTATCTGAGAGCTCCAAGTATGGAGGATGGGCTGACCACAAGCAAAGGCAGCTTTGGGAGAGAGCACAGCTGCTACTCCTCCAGTTTCCCAAGTGGGAATAACCCTCCCACCTCTTCCACCAGAGCCAGAATGCTGCTGGGGGAGCCCTCAGCTGAAGGGGCCCTGGGAGATGTTGGGCACTAGCCTGTTGTTCAGCTCTGACAATCAGTGACTCCATCACCACAGATGGTGACAGATGATTCATCCTTTTCCTTTTCTTCTTCCTCTAGGTTTTTTTCTTCCTCTTGCAGTATCTCCTCTTCTTCTGAAGGAAAAAAATTATCCATAAATAGAAGACATGACCCATTGCCAATCCCATTGAAGCTGAGAGGTCCCACTTCCCCAACACTGGCCTGTCCCAGAACAATGGATGCTGCTGCTCCTCTCTGAATCCTCATGTTCATTCTCTCTCACAGGGGATCATGTCACCCCCTGCAATGCCACACACATCCAACCCTGCCAAAAGCCCTGCCAGCCTCTCTCACACCTTTCCCAAGCTTTTCTGCCTAGCCATCATCTTTACAGGCCTACAACAATGTGCTGGCAAGATCCTGGGAAAAGGATCCTGGGAAAAAGCCTAAATGGGCTCAACTGCTCAAAACTCAGGAAGCAACCACGGAGGCCAAAGTGTTGGTCTGGCAGCCCTGCAAGTTCCAGGCTTGAGGAGATGGGTGTGAGCTGCCTGATGTGTGATGGCAGGGGAGAACCAGGGGATCTTCCTGGGAGCCAACAGACAGTGCTCACCTTTCAGCATCCTGGGGCGGTACTTGGTAACCCCAGGGAAGGTCCCCTTTCCCTTCAGGATGATTTCTGCTGGTTCCAGGTGAGCCACATGGACCTGGAAAGTCTTGTGGAAGACTCCCAGCTTTCCTGGCAGATAATAGACTTTGAACACTTGCTTCTGGCCAGGTGCAAGGAAACCCTGCAGGGACAGGAGAGGAGGAAGGGACTGCATCAAAGCTTTGATGGGGGATGGCTCAGGGGACAGACAGGCTGAGAAGACAGGTTCTCATCCAGAAGAAACCATCAGACCACATCACTTTCCACCTTCCTTGTGCCCAAAAGCTCACACCCCCAACCCTGGGGTGCAGTGTGTGCTCCTGAGCTCTCGCAGGGCTGGGGCGTTTTCCCCCCACTTTTTTCCCTCTTTTCCCCCTTTCTTCCTTTAATTCTCTCCTGGGCTGCCTGGCACAGGGCCAGAGCCAATGTCTTGTGCTACTCACTGCATTGGGCACGACCACAGGCTCTCCAGGCAGAGGCTCTGCTGCAGTGCCAGTGGTGGAGCTTGGCACCACGTAGGTGAATTCCATAACCCCGGTGTTCTGCAGGGTCACCTGTGCTTTGAGGACTTTGTTAAACACCTGGAGAGAGGACAGAGGAGGGAGAAGTTACAGACACAGGCCTGATGCTGGCAACCTCCTTCCTCTTTCATGGCACTGACAGCACACAGCCACAATGCAACCACACAACTACAGAGAGATGGTAAAACCATGTAAAGGCCAGCAATAAATGAACCAGGGGACCAGGTCCTCTGCTCTCTGAGGGGTCACCAACAGCCAGGAGAAACAGAGGATGTGCCACACTGAGATGTGTGAGACGAAGCCAAAAGCTTATGAAGTTAAAGAATGGAAGCTGTTGGTTCTGCATGTTGCTGTTTGTGGTTTGGATTTGTTCAGGTTGGTTTGTTGGGTGTTGCTGTGAGCTGGCAGAGGGACAGGGTTGAAGACCTGACCAAAAGGAAGGAGGATGAGAGGGGAGGGGACAGAAAGGTTGGCATCAGAGAGAATGGAAGTTCCTGAGTACCCCTCCGAGGGGAAAGGGGCCAGGGACTGTCCCAAAGGGGATACAAAGATTGCCTTTTTGTTGGAGGGTGTGTTTGCTCCTCTCTGGGGCAGGGAGACACACGTCCAGCTCAGCTGAATGGTTACTAATGAACAGTTTTGTTTTGCTTTGACAACTTTGTCCCCATTGAATTGTATCTAAAAGTTTGTGCATTTCTGAGAGGCATTCCAGAAGAAAAGGCACCTGCATGCAAATATTGGCAAGAAACAGACAGGTGACAAGAGAGACACACAGGACAACACAGGCAGTGCCAGGAACTGGAAGTATCTGTGGACATTAAAGTGAAAAGAAGTAAAGTGGGGATTATTCTGGGACATTGTTTTCAGCTACTGAAGTGACTGAAAGCCCAACTTCCTCCCTGGATGATTTTGTGGATCAAGCAAGAGCATTTGACAAGAGCATCTCCTTGGAGCTCAAGCTTTAGGAGCAGATCAGTGGAGGGATATCTCAGGGACAGGCCCCTCTGGACATCTTCACTGGGAGCCTTGTGCTGCCAGGAGGCAGTGCCAGGTGCCTTGGAGAGGAGGGTGTCCTGTCCCTCAGCCAGGGGAAGGGAGGGGAGGGTGGGGATGGCCATTTCAAACCAGCTGGGCTGCTGGACGTGTCTCTCAAAGGTTGCATCCCAAGGCCCAGAGCCAGCAGAGGAGCTGAGAGGGGCAGAGAGCCTGGGATGGAGGTGGCCATGATGCCAGACAAGGAGCTGTGGCAGGAGCAGCCCGCGGTACCTGCAGCCCCCAGTCGATCTCCTCCACGTCCAGTTGGTAGCTGGGGCACGAGGCCTCCCCGGCCAGCACCACCTCGTAGGTGGGGCCTCCCTGCACGTGGCACAGCGCCCTGACACTGGCCACGATGTTGGCGTGCCCAAAGAAGGTGAAGGTGACCTGCTCGCTCTCGCCTGGCTGCAGCTCACCCCACAGGGGCCGGACATCAAACACCTGGAGGGAGAGGAGGGGACATCGAGATGCTGAGAGTGGAGATGGATGCAGAAGAGCAGCTGTGTCCTGAAATAGAGTCACAGCTGGAGGGGCCTATTCCCCAAACACAGCCAGAATCATCCTAATCTCATCCTGTGTCCGTGCCACTGACCAGTGCAGGGACCATGGGGAAAATCTTCTCCCATAATCACTTTTCCATGAGTATACACTACGTTAAAGTCAACTGGAATGTCTCCTGGCAGCAAGAAATTCTCTCTGCTGCAGAACTTGTCTTTAGAAACACTTCTCACTGTCTTCAGAAAAACAGGAGACTTGGAGGTGGGAGCCCTTGGAGCTGGGGGAAGGCTCATCTGACTTCTGAGGCCTTTTTCCCTCTCTTTCACTTACATGCTGTTCCTTCAAGCTGCTACAGCCAGAGTTCCTACAAAAATGTCCTGAAAACCACCTGATGAGGTAAATGGGAGCAATGCCCTCCACAGGTGCTGCACAGGCAGCATCCTGGGGCAGCCCTACAAAACATCCCACATGGCCTCTCCAGTGACCGCTCGCTTCAGCAGAGCTTTGAGATGGACTGGGAGGGATGTGAGGCCCCTCTGTGAGCAGTGCTGAGGGCCACCAGTGGCACTGGGGCTACAGAACCACTTCCCACACTGGAAACATGGATGTGAGACAAATTCCCACTTACCTCCTGCATTCCCAACTTGGGGTGCTCCATCTCTGAGAACCAACTCAGTCCCCTCATCCTCACCGGCCTCTGAGACGCCCCAGGAGTGGATGCCAGCCCCTGTTAAAAAGCACCACGGGCTGCAGTGAGCTGGCTGCTCTGAGCAAGATCACTCTGCTGCAGGCTGCACCTCCTCACCCACCAGGAGCAGCTGAAAAGGGGCCTGGGCACAAATCAAGGGTGAAAATGTCCAGGTCATCAGCTGAGTGTGGGTCCAAGCCCACCCACAGATGAGACCTGGGCTCCATCTGCACCTCCTACATCAAACTTGCCTGGGAACTGGGTGCCCCCAGCACTCAGGCAGGGAGGGTTGGAACTACATAATCTCTGAAAGTCCCTTCCAAGCCAAACCATTCCAGGATTCCAGGATGGCCACTTGAATTTCCCTGGTTTACGTGTGCATACATGGCAACAACCAGGAAATAAAGATGATTTTGTGCTTCTATTTGAAACCATTCAGCCACACTGTTCATATAGGGCTTTGTTTCTCCTGATTCAGAAAAACTGTGTAGAAACAACTGGTATTTATGTGTGAGCAGATACAACCCTTCTCCTTAAACTTAATGCCAACACTGGGCTTTTGAGAAACTCTTCTGCTTCCTTACACCTTTTTTTTTTATTGCCCCATGAGCAGCCTCTGTTCCCCCTGATGCAGAACAAGGGGCCACTTCCCACTCCAAAGTACTAATGTTCACAGGCAAGTTGGCAGATTAAAGGCCTTTTTCCTTGTTTGGGGGAAAAGACGGTGACTTTGCAAAGCCTTGCTTTATAAAAGACAGCTCTGGAGCTGTCACTGCAATACCAGCTTCTGGGTGAAGGCAGAGATGTGAGTGCTCTAGCTGGGTTTGGAAGGGGCTCCGTGGAGATCAGGACTCTTCATGGATTGACACACATGGGAAGCTGGAAGCCTTCTCATCATGATGCAGATAAAGACCTCATTTTACATTGTAAAGAAAATAAGCCAAAAAATCCCAAACTCAGCACAGGTCTGTAGGATCTGAACGAGCTTCACTGAGCAAAACTTTCCTATTTCTACCTCCCCAGACATCCCATGTCCAACTGCCACTTTCAGGGCACAGGACAGAAGGACAGCAAAAAGGGAGGTTGGCACGAGTATGATTTTTTTGGTGGCAAGTTGGGGAGGCAAAGCAAGTGGTAGGTGCACAAGAAAATCCACCTCTGTTTCCAGGGAATGCTCTGCATCTGCTGGCTCCTGGTCAGAGTCCTCCTGAGCAGAATCCTCCTGAGAAGAGTCCTCTTGAGCAGGATCCTCCTGGGCAGGATCTTCCTGGGCAGGATCCTCCTCATCAGAATCTTCCAGGGCAGAATCCTCCTGGGCAGAATTCTCCAGGGCAGAATCCTCCAGGGCAGAATCCTGCATTGTTTCCGGGGTTTCAGCCAGCTCTTCCACACTTTCAGTCCTGGAGTATCTCCATGGAAACACTCCCTTCTTCTTTGGTGACTGTGGCTTGAATTGAGGTGGTGAAGGCATGAACCTGGAAAATAACATAACTGTGATGGTGAACCTGCAGTGGGAGAGAGAGGTGCCTGCAAGAGCAGCTCCTCACTGCACTGCAGCCCCTGGCTGGGTGCCGGGGTGCTGAGCTCAGTAACAGCCACTCCAGAACCAGGCTGGAGCAGCTCCATGCTGGGAGCAGCACGGGGATGATGATGCTCATACCTTATGGTGTGCACCTGGCTGTCTGTCAGGAATGACCAGTGGTAGTTGACAGGTAGTGGGCTGCAGTTGGTCATCCCCATATGCAACACTTGTTCAGTGTCATTTATGATGCAGCCAAAGTCCACGGCCTTGGTCGGGAGGTGGAGATTTGGGAAGTAGACTTCCCCCCGAACACGGACCTTCTCCACATGAGGATGCTCCATGAAGCTCACCCTGAGAACCTTCTTTACCACCCAGCTGATCTTACTTTTCTTATAAGCTGGGTTAAACCGGATGTAGAGATGAAGTTCCTTCCCCACATCCACTCTCAAAGGCTGCAAGGAGATGAGCAGTAATTAATCACCTGTGGGATGATGTCCCAAGGTCTGGCAGCATGAAACAGTAAATGCTCCAAGTGACCCCAGCACGGGCTTCTCAGTTCATGGTTCATCTCTCTCCAGCAGGGCTCTGGCTGCAGGCACCACAGTCCAGTCCAGGATCCCTCAGGCTCCCATTTCTGTGCTCAGCCCCAGTACAAGGGGGTGGCTGCTGGAGAGCTGGCATGGCTTTCCAGGAGACACCTTCCCTGCATGGCTTGCCTCCATCTGCTTTCCTGCTCCCCTCTCCTCATGTTTTAGAGCCAGGATGGATCTTCTCAATTCAGATAAGATTTTGATTCCTTCAGCAGCTCTGCTGATTCAGCTCAGGCCAATCCACTGCTGACACTACAGTATAAACTTCTTGACTTGAGGACCTCCCAACAGAAGTGCACCACCACATCCCTCCTCCTCAAACCCCACTGAAGAAGCCCACAGAGGCTCACCTTGGCATTTGCAGGGAGGGGCTTCTGGTTCACATTGCAGACCAGGAAGGGCTGCTCCAAGTGCAGCACAATGCTGAATGGCAGGGAGCTGGTGTTTTTTAATGTCAAGAGCTGGTACTGCAGTGTCAGGGCATCACTGGGTTTCTACAGAAACAGGAGACAAGGGCAAACAACCTCAAGTGCCATAGACCTCCTTCCCCTTCCAATGCATGTCACATTTTTCAGCCCCAGAAGTGCATCTATTTCTATTTACTTCCAGCCAGTTTAAGAGTTACACCTTTAAATGCCAGGATGCAATCTGGTGACTTTACCTTTTCCACACGGAAAGCGATGGCTCTGGGGGACATTTGCACTCCAGGGCAAATGAAGTTGCAGATGACATCCACTTGCAGGATCTGTTTCTTTGTTATCTCTTTCCCCACCACAGCGTGACACAGCAGCCGCTCCTTCACCTCCTGCACACAAGAGTCCCTTGTCTCCCAGTGTGTGCTGGCAGGCCCAACACCCCACACTGCCTTGCCACCCACCCATGGGCCCCATTCCTGTCACTTGTTATTAGGGACTGTAGTTAGTCTCTGCTCTCCTCAGTAGCTCTCTTTTCTTTCTGTGCTGCCACCTATTTACTCTAACTATCTGTGCCCAGGGGTCCTGGAGCCAGGGAATGCATACCAGACTTAGCTGGCAGCTTCTCTGCAGAGTTTCATTCCCCTGGAAAGAAAGGTCCAGGTAGGAGAACACTCCCAGACTCTGCTAAAATCTCCCCCTCTGAGTTGCTCTCCAGGGGTGCTGCAAAACCTGGCTGCCCCTGGGACACCAGGGCTGGCTGAGACACTGGGGCAAGCAGTGATAGAAAAGTTGACCAAAGTCCAATTGTCAATTCTGATGATCCCTGGGAACAGTTTCCTGCCTGGACGGACATTGCACTGATCATTAGAGCTGGCACACTGTGTTTTCCCCTCCAGGACTCATAGCTAGAGCAGCCCTGTGCCCAAGTTTGTCTTCAGAGGAAAAGCAATGCTGCTCCCAGACACTCCTGCCATTCCCAGGGCTTTTCTTTTACTCCCTGGGTAAAGGGTTTTTCCCTCAGAAAAAGCACTTGACAGTAGTTTAATTTGCTTCCTGCCTGGGCTTCTAGTCTAAGTTCAACTTCTTTTCTCTGCTCTTCCTTTCTCCCTCAGCACATGACACAGGTAAGCCCTGTTTGGCCAAAGGAGCAGTACTTCCTTCAGCCTGTATTTTGGGATCAGCAAGTTGGGTTTATGGTAGTTAGGGAAACACAAAAGAGCCGTAGCAACTGCTGGTGGCCAGCAAGGAAAGCAACTGGCCTTGAAACAGCTTCTTGAAGTCACTTGCTCCTTTTGCCAGGCCACTGTCAAGGGGCTGCAGAAGAAGCTGCAGGGGGGGGATCTGGTGGGGAAGGCTCAGCCCTGGGCAGGGGCCTCACCTGGACAGTGCTGGAGCAGCCTTCCAGCACCATGTCCACAGTCTGGCCCGGCCTCAGGTCCACCTGCACTGGCCGCACCTTGAACACGGGGCTGCCAGGCCTGGGGATGGGGGCAGCCCCTCGGCCCTTGGTGGCAGCGGGGGCAGGGGCCCGGGAGCTGCGGCGGAAGGTGCGGAACCCTTCTGTGCTCCAGTACAGCCGCTGCGTGCGGCGGCCTCTGTTGGTCAGCTGGAAGTGGTAAAAGCAGGGACTGAAGCTACAAGAGAAGAGAGATGGAAAATGTCATGGCAGCTGTTATCTCCCTGGCATCACTCAGCTTCAGCTTCACCCTGATGGCATTCCCTGACTGCAATAAAACCTCCACCCAAAAGGCTGCCCAGGCTCAAAGCTTCAGCCCTGCCAGGTCTTCCAGCTTTTCCATTTCTGTGGCTTTTCAGGATATCTAGCAACTCTCGGATGACATATTTCTAAATGAATTCCTGTGGCTTCATGGAAACAGAGCTAGGACCTTGAGTACTGAAGAAGATCTAGCCTGAAGGGCTATGGAAAAATTGTTCCTAGCTGAACACACAGGAGATGTGGAAGTTTCTAGAGTCTCCTACCTGAAGCAGGACTTCAAGTCGAGCTTCGGAACGAGAGGTTTGTCTGTGACAACTGTGGTGCCAATGCCCACAGCCTGGAGAGAGATGATGGTCACAGGGTTGTTCTGAATGAACACCTTCACCTTCTCCTGGAATTTCACTGTGTCATTCAGGTTTGCTATGACAGCCACAGACACCTCAGAATTAGGGGGGACCACTCCTTTGCTGGGCTCAATCCTCCAGCAGGAACGTTTCCCAGCCTGTAGGACAAGACAAACACAAAGTTAGATGGAAGCCATGGACCCCACTCTGCTGTGAGGTGCAGGAAACAGGAAGGCTAAAGAGATGAGTATAAAAACCATTTCCCTAAATGTAAGCTATGGTGTCCAGCACAGCAACTCCCCAAGAGCTTATACAACCTGTATTTTACCTTCCTTTAACACACTCAGGTCATTAGCCCTGTTTTGCTCAACCCAAGGGATGCTCCTCCTCAGGAGAAGGTAATTCCCCCTGCTGGCTCTCTTTGGAGTGCTTGCCAAGGGAAGCTGTTTACTCCCTGCTGGCTTCCTGGCAGCAGAGCTGCGTGTGCACAAAGGCTCACAGCCAGAGCAAGGCAGGACTGCTCAAATCCCAGCCCAGCAGCCGCACAGCTGGAGGACACTGCTGAGAGCCTGCAGAATAACTCTGCAAAGCCAGCTGAGCAAAATCCCAAATCTCCTTTCCCAAGGCGCCATCAGTGCTTCTCAACATCCCCTAAAGGACTGAAGCCCTCACTCCCCACCAATCATCAGCTGTAGAGAGGTGCCCCAGTGCCCTCTGCCTAAAGAAAAGTCACCTCCAAATGCTTATAGCAGAGCAGGAAAGCAGGAAGCAGAAAGAAAACTGGACAACATGTGCTCTGTGGGCATGGCCCACTCTTCCCAAGAACTCTTGTCATCTGCTTTCTCATGGACTTCACAGATTGGCCAAGAGAGCTGGAGGCTGCCCAAAGGAGGGAGGAAAGGCCTTGCACCAGCACAGCTGTGCAGACACAGCTCTGCAGGTCTGGCCCTGGCAGGAGCACATGAAACCCAACCTTTACACACCATGAGCACCCAGCCAAGGGGCATTGCTCCCTGCAGAGGCTGAAAGCAGAACTCCATTGTGGAGTCAGGGAAAGCTGCCCTGCCAATCCTCCACTTTTGGATAACGTTTATCTCCCAAACAGCTGGAAAAGCAGCAAGAGGAAAATTCACACCCCTCCTCCTTGGCCCAGGAGGCTGTGGCTGGACTCTCACACAACACCTGATGATTTATCCACAGACACAAACAAGTCCACAGTGTCAGGGCTGGCTTTAACCAGATCCAGAAGTTGAACCCACCCAATATACAGAAGATCAAATGTCTTTTCAAAGCTTTTTTCAAGCCTTTCACAGATGCCCCTCCAGCAGGGAGCACATCCCACTCAGACCCAAGCCACGTACCCTTCCTGGCTGCTCCTCCTGCCAGAGGAGCAGCTGCAGCTCCAGCCCTGTGGCCTGTCCCCCTCTGTAAGCTCCAGGAATGCAACAACCTTCCTCTGCAGGTGATCTCCAGAGCCATTCTGCAATGCTACAGAGACCACAGGCTCTGGGGCTGCACAACCCTCACAGCTGCATTTGCTTGCAACAGCACTACTGGTCTGACCCACAGGAGTTGTGAAACTTGCCTCCCCATGAGCAGCTTGAGAGCAGATCTCACACCCTGGTTTCTGCCATTAACACAAGTTTGGCACAAAGCAAATGCAGATGGAATGGAGTCCATGGGGAAATCCATGCCCTCTTAGGAGCAAAGGGCCACAGGTTTCTCTTGTTCTGAAAGCTCCAAAAACATGACTTGCACAGTTAAGTATCTTCCACAAAATAGAGAGAACTTGAAAACATGATCCAGACTCATTTCTGCTCCAGCCTCTCTGCAAACTATTTCACAGAGGCGTGCCTGAGATCCTGGCTCCTCTTGCTTGCACTTGGATGGAATATCTTGCTTCCACTCACACAGAACAATACAGAAATGTTGCATACAAAAAACAAGTCAAGGGCTGCTAGTAACCAGCACTTTTCCCTAGAAAACAGCCCCACAGACACTTACCATCTCCACCTGGAAGGTTGCAGGAATCTCACACTGATTGGCAAGGTGGAGAGTTTTGGAACGATCTTCTAGGACTGGGATAGAGCCGAAGTTTATCTCCCTGGGATGGACATAGACAACGGGGCCCTGGCAAACGCACTCCAGACGGATCTCCTGTTCCAGGAAGAAGGTAGGAAAGGTCAAAAAAAAGACACAACAAAGGCAGTTTTAAAAGTACAGCCAGCTCTAAGAGCATTCCTAGACTGGGGATAATGATGGCCCTTTGAAGCTGTCGGTGGTGCAGACTGAAACAGAAGGCCTGGAGCAAGTGTGGGGTCTGCAGTGATCCCACCTGAAAGCCACAAGCTCCCATTATCAGAGGACAGAGCCCTGCTGTTTGCCATGCTTGCTTCTTCACACCTCTTCCACATGGCTCTTGCCTTTACCTGCTGCCTGCTTCATTCACTGCTCCACCTTGGCCCAAAGCACCCTCCCAACTTTCACTGCTGCACAGCCATCCTTGAACATCGAGTTCTTTACAATTCAAAAAGCTACACTGGTGAAAGCAGCATGAGTCAGAAGCAAGGCAGGCTCTTCAGAGTCAAGATGAGGCAAGTTAGTTGCCTTCAATTTGTGCTTATGTGTAATATTCATATATAGGAGTAAGGGGCATTAATTAGCAATTGCATCATTCAAGCAGTATTTTTTCCTTAAAAAAAGGCTGAACTGACTTAATAGTCTGAAACTCAAAAGGATTGTTCTTGCAGAGCTGGCACAGACGGTGGGACAAGGAACATGGATCCCTTTGCTAAACTACCTGCTCACACCAGTGGAAACCAGGACAATTTATTCAATCTTGTTGGATTTCACTGGTCCTAAATACCCCAACTCTTACACAGGACTTGAAGGCATAAAACTCACAACACCAATAAGATTCACTGGAGGGCTTGGAGTATGATTTAACCACAGAAGAAACCAGCCTCTAGACCTTTTGCAATGTCTGACTTGAGGGAATGGCATTGACAACTGCCAGAATTACCTTAGTCAGAAGGAGCAGCATCCAGAAATGCACATCCCTTTGGGACATACATGACTGTGCAAAGAAGAGCCAGAAACTATGTACCAGGGCTGGTACCTCAAGAACAAGGAACTAAAGCCCTGCATGATGAGGGATCTTTTATTCCTCTGGGAGAAAGCAGGCCCAGAGGGCTGCAGCCTGGCTGATGCTGCTGCCCAAGGCTCCCTGGAGGAAGCTGCAGGGAGGAGCTGTGCCTCACCAGCTGGCTTCACTTCTAGGTGACAGTGGGACAGAAGCAGCAGAGGCAGGGCAGAGCCCTTTGGAGAGGAGCAGAATAGCACCTGGAGGATGCCTGACCTGGCTTCAGTTAGGGTGTGACAGTGGGACAGATCCTCACTGAGGAAAAGTCTTATAAAAACACACAAACCCTTCATCTACAGGATTCTTAAAAGGGACAAGAACAGCCCTGCTCAGCAGTGTCACGGGCAGTGTGACACACAGGAAGGAGAATAAAAGCAGACAGCAGCTTTGTCCTCAGTGTTACTGCTACACACACCCCCCACATCCTGCAGCACTGCTGCCTTTGGTGGGGTGCTCACGGCACAAACCAGACTATGGAGGGATGAGGAGCATCCGTGCCTGGCAGGCTGGGCCTGTATTTTGTAGCCACTCTTGCTGTTATGACATATGCCTCTTTAGGAGCTCTTTTAGAATCTTCTTTACAATCCTTGGAATCTTCTTCAGAATCTTCAGAGTCCTCTTTTAGGAGGCTTTAGTTCAGGAATTGCTTGCCTTATCCATTTCCAAACTTGGTGGAAAAAACAAGCAAAGCCTGTGCTGCAGATGCAAGTTGTGTGGATATTCATATGGTTTTGGCTGGGCTTTTGTTGAGGAGATATGCTGGGTATTTCTCAGACCTGAGGGACCTGGCTTTCAGAGAAGCCTCCGTCCAGCTCTGCACAAAACATTCCTTCAGTGTTTGCCTTAGCAAATGGTGCTGTAGCAGGATTCAGGGATGTCCCTGTGTGATGCTGAACAGTTGTAATGAAGCAGCACTTGTGTTCATCTGATAACACGGCAGAGAATGAGACCCAGGGACTGATCTGGGTTTCAGCCTGGGGGTGTTATCCCATCTCCCAGATTTGTAACTCTATGCTGGGTCAGGCACTGAGATTGCCACCTGTGAGACTCCCACTCTTCCTCTTTCCTAGGCATGAGCTGCTGCTTGTGCCCCCAGTCCCTTCTGTCCTTGTCCACCAGCCATAAATCACAAGTTCCTGGAAGAATCCCTGTGCAGTTTCCACCCCACTGGGATGAGCTGCTCAAGGCACACGTGTCCCCTTGCTCTCACCAGTGGGGATTCGCTCCCAAACACGGCCAGCTTAGCAGTGATCTTGCACTGTCCCAGCAACTGGGCCTCGAGTTCAATTGGGATCTCCACCGAGCTGTGAGCCTCGATAATGCCAGAGGGTGTAGGGCTGAAGTACCACAGAGCAGCCTCCTTCTTGTGTTCCTGGCAGGGACAGAATCAAAGGCATCTTCAGGACTGAGGAAACTTTAAACTCCTTAACCTCTACCACAAGAGCAACTCCCACATGCTTTTAAAAATTCTCAGGAGGAAGCAGGCAAAAAACAAGATGCAAGGTGTAGGTGCTGAGCATCACCAGGGGGTCCAAAAGTTGCTGCATCAGAAACACCCACCTGGGTGCTGACAGCCTCCTTGCATCAGATTTTCACTACCCTCTAAGCTCTCCCACTTGAAAACAAGTCAAGGACTAGACTCTAAACATCTTCCTCAAGATGTTAAACTGCTTCCTAAAGTTTGTATTTAGGTTCTTGTTCTCAGAAAACCTTTAGCTTTGAATAGAAACCAGCAAGGTCTTATCCAAACCCATTTATTCCCCTAATAAGCCCTCAGTAACATTTGAGGGGAGGAGATGGATGCAAGGCCAAACCTGAGTGAGAACACAGTAGGAGGCAGGAAAGTCGCTGTCATTCACCAGGGTCACCTTCTCATCATAACGGACCTTCAAGCAGCAGTGCCCCAGTTCCAGGACAGGGTTGAGCACTTGCAATGAAGGAACGATGCACCTGGGCAAAGAGATGACCCCAGGGCAATTAGAGACACTGGGAGCATGGAGAACTTTTGTCCTCCAGGAGCATGCAATAGAGCAGAAGATATTTGCAAATCTAACAGAGTAGAGTAGTAGAGTAGTCCTACAGCAGTCCAGAGCTGTCTTAGCAGTTTTTCCCCTTCTCTGCCCAAGAACACTTGCAAGGACTCCTGTAACAGTCCCAGTGGTCCATGAGCTCTGGGGGAGCCTTTCCAGTGAGGACCAGTGCCCACCAAGGCTCAAGGAACACAGACTCCAGTGTATCAGTGAAAATGACTCCCTTTTCTCCTCCAGCACTGTTGTCCTGCCTAAAAACTGAATCATCTCTTCCAGCAGTGGAGGGCAAAAGGCCCACAGTGCAGGTGATCAACTTCTCCCAGTTCTTAGAGCTCCCTCAATTCTTTCCCCCATGGGTCTCTATAGTAGAGGCTGTATTGCACTTGAATATGCATGTATTGTACTTGAATATCTGTATAGAGGCTTTGCCCCGGGAGGTCCTGGTTGTCCTTGATGGACTGCAGCTGTGATGTCCTTAATTGGGCTGCAGCTGTGACCAATGAAGAGAACTGGGATAAAAGGGGGTGGGTTAGGCAGTCAGGGAGAGCCTTGAAGGAGCCCTGAGCTGAGAAAGAACAAGATGCAGAAGAAGGGGTCTGTGCTGTGAAGATCTGCAGCCATAAGAACATGCCAAGGAGGTATGGGACTTTAGAAATCTGGTAACAACAGTATGGGACTCCAGAAATAGAACAACAACAGGTCTCTACACTGAGTGTCCCCATTTGTGCTTGCTTTACAAAACAGCAGCCCAGGCACTGCCTGGATGGCTCTGCCTGGGAGAGGGAACAGCACCAGGAACTGCATCCCTCTTGGCATTAAACTGACACCCACAGCAGGATGGAGTTCTGCTGCAGCAACAATGACTTTTGGTCTCAACTCTGAGAACATGACTCAAAAGAGCCAGAGGGAAGCAGTGAAAGCTGAGCTGACCTGCCACATCAAGGACTACAGTCCTCTTTGTAAGATCTTTTGCTCTTTCCACTCCTGCCTGGAGCCTCTTCCCCACTGCACATGCAGTGCTAAAGTGAACCAGACCCCAGCTCTCAGCAGGCTGCTCACTGTGTTCCAAACCACTGCTGCAGGGTGGTCACAAGCAGCACAAGTTCACCACTTGCAGGAAGGACAGGCAAGCCTTTGGAAATTTGTTCCAGCTCAAGCACCAAACCCTAGGCCAACAGTTAATAATGTTATTCCTGCTCCCTTTAGAAAAAGGCCTGGGGCCATGGCTGGCTGTGAGCAGGGGGGTATCTCACTATGGGCTGCTTTCCTGGCACTGTTCTCATGTCTAGATGGGCAGATCCAGCTCATGAAGCAACACTTCTCCTTTGGAGCTGCAGCCAGGCAGCGTGCTGGTGCTGGATGCACGAGCAGAGACAAGCAGGTGCAGGAAAGGTGTTGGTACCTGGCTGTGAGGGGCAGTGCAAACGCCTTCTTGCCGACATCTTCCGCGTCCAGCACCAGCTCCAGCTTGTACTCCCCAACAGTGTTGGGACACAGGGTGACCTGGCAGAAAAGAAAAGAAGTGCAACAAATATTTGCTAACTCCCAAAATCTCATCACCCATGTGTGCTGGAACTCTTGTTCCATGGTAGACAAAGGGAGGATTTTGCTTTAATTTTCCTGCTGGTCCATAAGTAGAGCAACAGTCTTTGAGAGTAAAAAAAGCCCTCTGGCAATATCAGATTTGCTAAAGGGGCTAATTTTTCACCTGACTACAATGACAAAAATGCAGAAGAAGTCTGTTGTCTTGAATGGAATGAGTCCAGCCTTACAGCAGGAAGCTGAGGGCAATGTGGCCCAGCACATGCTGGGCAGTTCATGGCTGCAGAGTATTTTCTGTCCCCACTGAAGATTCCTGCAGTGACTACAACTCATCTGCTGCCCAGGAGATGAGAAACAAGACCAGGAAGGAAAGAAAACTGCTTCCTCCAATGATATCTCTCTCTTTAACAGCAACTTTCTGTTTTCATCCTTCCTCTGCCCACTTGCAATCAAAGAAATCATTCTCAAAAACACAAGAATGGCTTCTTGACCATATGGTATTGATCTCAGTGTAGGATTTTGGAAACAAACCAGTGCTCCTTGAGGAACATCCCGGGTAAGCCAGCTAGCAGAGGCCTCCCAGCAGTGCAGATCTCTCACTCCCAGGATGCTCAAAGCTGGCACCAGAGCTAAAGCCCTCCCACACTGCAGTGAAGCTTCAGCCCCAGCAGCTGGGCTCTTCCCATACCTTGATATCCTGGGATCCCAGGGCATGGACGGTCCCGCTGCAGGGACTTATGGTAAATTCCCTTGGCTTCCTCACAACTTGAGCTGCCCTCCTCCAAGCCTGGCTGCTGGGTTTGACTATCTGAGTAGAGCTGTCAATACTGGGCAGTCCCACGCCATCCCCAGGAACGTAGAGGAAGAAGCCCATGGGTGTTAGGGAGGTGTTAAACAGGCAACACTTCAAGGTGCGAGGAAAACCTAAGAAAATGACACAAATACCCATTTAGGCATCAATATCTCATGACTGCTGGTGTGAATATCCTGCTGGTAGGATAAAACTGGGCTTGGATTTTACTGCTTTGTGATCTGAACTACAGCTCATTGCAGTGGATCTATGGCTTGGCTGGCCAGCTATGTGTGGAGCAGACATCTCCCAGCCTGCTCACCAAGAGTCATTTAAACCCAGATGGGGAGGAAAAACCAACTGCAGGCACAGCCCAGGGCTTCTCCATGCCCGTCAACAGTGACTGCAGCAGGGAGGCAAGAGAGGCACAAAAAGGATGTCACAATCTCAAATGCCACTGAGGGAAGCACATGCAGACAACATTCAGCAGCACAGTTAAAAGAAACAAAGATAAAACAGCTTCCCCCAGCTGAAGAAACCTTAGGAATGAAATCAGATTAAGCAGGATGAATCTGCTATTACAGAACCATATTCCTGCCTGGTGCCTTTCTTTATTGTGCCACTAACTAAAAGGGAAACCAGAAGTGGCCAAACAGTGATGCTGACTTTTTATTCCTTTGGTCCTGTTTGATCTCATGATGGCAAAAGGGTACCTGAGGCACCAGCAGCCCTGGAATGAACACCCTGAAGAGGCTGTGGTGGAGGAACACAAGTGATGAATGCTCTTATGTTCAAGTGCTCCATTTCAGCACCACACCAAGCTCTGACACTGTGGTGCCAGCCCAGGGCACACTCACCAAAGGCAACGTCACCGAAGTGCAGGGCAGGCACATCAAAATGGAAAGTGGGTCCCATCACAGAGCCCCTGCAGGGACAAAGGCAGGGAGGCAGTGCCTCTGTTAAAGGGAATCACAAAGGGTTTGGGTGTCCTTAGGCAGAGGATGGACAAAGGCAGGGAGGCAGTGCCTCTGTTAAAGGGAATCACAAAGGGTTTGGGTGTCCTTAGGCAGAGGATGGACAAAGGCAGGGAGGCAGTGCCTCTGTTAAAGGGAATCACAAAGGGTTTGGGTGTCCTTAGGCAGAGGATGGACAAAGGCAGGGAGGCAGTGCCTCTGTTAAAGGGAATCACAAAGGGTTTGGGTGTCTGTAGGGAGAGGGTGGATAAAAGCTGCTGTCAGAGCCACCCTGGGTTTCAAATCACCCCAGCACCCTGTGCTCAGCACAGCACCCATGTGGGCAGGAGGCAGCCAAAGCAAAGTGCTCAGCAGCTGACAGATGCCCCAGTCCTTGGCACAGTTCCTGCTGCGCAGTTCCTGACTCCCACATCAGCCCTTTGCTGGCTGTGCAAAGGAGGCACCAGAGCACTCTGTGCACAGGAGCTGGGAGCTCAGCTTGTCCCCCACAGCACGGCCATGAGAGGGGAGCTGAGGCTGCTGCTGCCCATCTGGCATGGATTATTAATGGAAGTTTTTAAAAACACTGCTGCTGCTGCAGAATCCTCCAGGCTGGCCCATCTGCAAAGCCCTGGGGGCCTTGCTGGGTGTTCAGGTGGGACATCCCAGAGCAGCTGCTGCCCAGAGCTGATCCATCCCACTGCCTGCAACAGCCTAAGCAGGAGACATCCCTGCAGGGAGTAGCCACTCCTGCTCCTGGGTACCCACACAGGGCAGCAGGCACCCCCAGACTAAAGTGATGCCAGAGCCAAGATTAAGACGTCAGGCAACACCTTTTTTCTCTGTTCCACCACAAAATGAGGCAGATGGAAGATGATTACCCAGAGACAGCTACAGATGTGCCCAGCAAGCTCCCAAAGCCCTCCTCACCTGACAGTGAAGGTCACAGGCTTAGGGGATTCGGTCACATGGAAGTGGAATTCTTCCTCAAACTCCCCCCGGATGGTGGGACAGAAGGAGACCCGGATGACCTGGAGCTTCTCTGGTGCCACGATGCCCTCCTGGGGCAGGAAGGTGAAGCAGGAGCCCATGGCTGTGGTTGGAGGGATGAGCTTGAAGGGAGCCTCAATAGGCCCATTGTTGATCAGGTATGCCTGCAGCAGCAGAAAAGCAAAGTGGAACTACATGAGGAATGTTCCTTTCTTACAGAAGTCTGAGTCACTTTCAAATTAAACTATTAACTGCTGTAAAAGACAGAGGATGCCCTGTGCTGCTGCATGGCAGAAGCAAAAAAATACAACTTTGAAATACAGCTTTGTATAGCTTTGGGTTTTTCATGCAAAGCAGTGATAACTTCACATAACCAGAGTCACTCTGGGGTTTTCCCACTGGCAGAGACAGTCCACTTTGACCTGCAGCCCAGAGGGGCTGCTCAGCATCACCCAGTTCATTCACAGCTGGCCCTAAGAGCAGCACTGGGCATCACAGCATTACCAGTGACATCACCACAGTGATTTCAAATGTGCCCAACCCCACCATGGGCAGGGCATGTTCAGCTTCCATTGCAGCCCAACCTGTTTACAGCAGAGTGGGAGAAACCAGGAGCAAAGATGTAGAAAGTTCCTTTGCTTCTTTCCCAGAAACACTTGGCTCTTTCTAGAGCCAGAGGTACATCATGGCTGAAGTGTGGTGAGGGACTGGTCAGCAAGGGAAAGCACTGCCAAGGGCTTTGAGCAGTGCTGAGCCAGGAGGGTGGACGGTTTTCCTCTGACTCCCACGAATATGCAGGAGGGACATGACTGAAAACTGTTTGCAGTGGACTTGAAATCAAATGCAGCCAGTTTGTTCCAGCTGCTTTTGGACAGCCTGAACACAAAGGTGATTTGTGTCTGGGACTGGAACAAAAGCCTCTGAACGTGCAGCTTTTGGACCCAGTGTTGGTTTCATGTGTCAAGCAGTTTTGCAGGAAGCCTCCCAGCTGATCTCCAAAGAAGACTGCCCAAAAGCAGGGACTGGGGTCTCATGAACAACAGACCCCATCCAAAAGATCCAGATTCCAAGAAATCCCCCAAATTTAACTAGTATCCCAACTACCCAAGTTGCCAGGAATTCCACAGGTCCACAAGGCTCACTGCTACCCTAGGAGCCACCAGGACCCACCCCAACCCTGCTGCTTACCTCATATCTGTGGGTTACTCTGACAGAAACCTCCCTGATGTTCATTTCCTCAAAGTGGAAATGGACCTGGGGCCCAAGGCCTTCCCCTGTGAGGAGCAGGGGCAGCCTGTTCTCACGGCCTGGGGAGAGATTTCTATTTCAGTACAGTAATTCCTTCTGCTATCCTGCATTTGCCAGGCTGCCTTAGTGCTAGTCCCTGACTCTGTGCTGCATGGGACCGGCTCCTGATGTCCCAGGAGCAGATATGGACCCTTCTCTTCCCTCAGGAGATGCAGTACATCCATAGAGACCATCCTTTCTTCTATCCCTATGTTGAGCATGGAACTTTAGGAAATGCCAGAAATTTTGTTTTTCCTCCTTCTGGGTGCACCTCCCTTGGGTGTTTTTCCCAAGGGAGGAGGAGCAGACTAAATACAGGCAGCATTCAGAACAGCTGAGAGGGGAAAAAATCAAAATAGAGGAGATGCCCTGGAAGCTGCAGGGACAGTGGGCATGTGCCAGCACTGCCCTGCCGAGCACAGACCCTCCCCAGCAATGGCACAGGGGCCCAGTGATCTGGGGGAGTGTTTGCAGCTGGCCTTCGTTGCAGTGAGAGGGGCAGGGGAAGGAGCCGTACCCGAGATGTCGCAGTAAACTGTTCGCTCGTACACCTGGGCTGCCTGGGGCGTGAAGAACACGCTGATTTCAGCAGAGCAGTTCGGCCTGATCTCACCCTCCTAAAGCAGAAGGAGACACCCAAACATTCATCTTCAGACATCACATTTCTTGTTTTCAACCACAGTCCTGTAAGCTGTTATTTAGAGCATCAGTGACAAGCAAGGAGTGAGTAACACTCATCAATAACACTGACAACAGAGTTTGGAAGCTTTAGTCAGGCTCCTGCTGCCTGCCAGGAGCCCACAGGGCAGAAATGCTTTTTGCAACCAGCTCTCTGACCTCACCAGAATCCCCATGACTTCTCTCTTGGCACACAAAGCCAGCTGAGGCAGGGATCAGTCAAGTGACCTTACTCAGGGATGAGGAGGAAGAGGAAGAAGAGAAGCAGGAAGGGAAGCTCTCAGCCATCATTTACCTTCGGCTGAAGGGAGAAAATGTCATTGTCTAACAGCATGGGATCCCCTCTGATCTTTGCTATCTCACTCTGGAAGGTGTGGTTGAGAAGAGCAAGGCGTTCTCGGCAAGTGATGTCCAGTTCACGCTCCTTCAGAAAACCATACAACTTCTGCCTTTGCTGCTGATATATCCTGTGATACTGCCTGCAGGCATAGGAAAGACAAACCCAGCAGGTTGTTTAATGAGCCATGTCTTTGCTGAGAGAAGTGGAAGTGCAGGAGCAGCTCCCCAGCAAAGGGCTGACCCTGAGCCATGGGGTCCCAAATGGATCAGAGGATCACTTGTTCACTCCACACTTGCAAGCTCAGGAGAGCTTTCCAAAGCCAGCAGCACTCAAGAGAACCTTTTGGCTCAAAGCCTCTGCCCCAGCTGAGGGAGAATCCAGCAGCCACCTCAGGCAGCTTTTCCTGACACACAAGTGCTTGGGGGAGGCAGGTAGCGATGGGCTGGTTTACTTACCCAAAGCCATTCAAAAGCACCAGTAGCTCCTGAAGCCATATGTTAGTTCTACCCTTGGGCAAGGCATGGCACTGAAATGGATCTTTCCAACCTACCTCAGCCTCAGCTGATCCTCCTGTTCCTGAGTAGCAACAGCCTTCCACTGGAAGCGGGCTGTGATATCACTGCGGTTGTGGATGAGCACAGTTGCGCTGTTTGACATGCTGATGTACGTCTTCTCCAGGGTCACAGTGTTCCTGTCCAGCCCGATTGGGGCCTCCACAGCTCTTCCATGAAGGCTTGTGTGGGTGTCTTCACCTGGAACAAAGCAAAGGGCAGTCTTTGCTCACCTCACTGGCTGATGGAAGCACAAGGAACAGAGCAAACCACAGGCAGCAGAAGAAAGTGTCACAGCTTTTAGCTGAACGAGCAGTTCCATGGCTCAGTCCATGTATCACAAGCTGAGAGCTGCATGTGCACAGCATGACAATGTCCTGACAACCTGCCAGCATTTCACCCTCTAGACCAAACCCCTACCAAAGGCTCCCTCATTTCCAGAGCTTTCAAAGCTTCATTATTCCCAGCCAGCTCCTGGGATTCATCTGGGCTCAGACTTCAAGCTCACTGTTCCTGTTGCAGGTGAGCTTTTCCCAGGTGAGATGCAAACAACAAATACCTGACATGCTCTCTAGAAATGGCATTTACATGGAGCTCTACAAGGATCAAGATGACAAACTACACGACTACAAACCAGATGACTAGAAAATGAACCCCCTGAAAACTATCATCATCTCCCTCTTGAAAGCCACGGCCACAGCAGCCTTTCTGCTTAGAACAGGCTCTGCTCTGAGGGATGCACAGAGTGCCCTGCGCAGTGCCCAGCACTCACCTGTGTCGTAGTGCACAACAAGGAACCCGGAATGGTCACCAGTCTTCAGTGGCTGAAATTCCACTGCCACCTGCACAGCGTCACCAACATCCAGAGCTCCCGTGGTCGGAATGACAGAGAAAGGGCTGCAACACAGAGATGGTAGGACTCTTGGTGGAGATTTGGGGATGTTAACCCTTTTGCAGTCCAGTTCTGCTCACTTGTGCAAGCAAAGAGCAAACCAACCACAGTCAGCAGAAGACAGAAGAGACAGGGTCAGAACCAGCTGCTGACTCTAGTGTGAGGAGATCCAGCCCTCACAAGATCCTGTGGGATGAAATGACCTCATCTCCCCCATACTCTGTATCCAGCTCTCTGCAATGAGGCTCAAGGGTCCTTTGCATCTTGCTTACCTTCATCAGGCATCAGCTCCCCTTACTGACAGAGGGCAGTCAGCTTCTCCCCTTACTGGGCAGAAGCTATGGCCATGAGGATACCAAGGACCAAGTACTCTTGGTATAATTTAGAAACAGAGCTGACCAGTGAGCAAAGCTGGCAATTTTATGACCAAGTCTCTCAAAGCACCATTCACCTGCACTTTTGGTAAATGCTGTGTGCAAGGAGGCTGCAATCTGTTTCAAGTCCCATGGTACCATTATCTGCTACAGCCAAACATTCTTTTGTCCACTGGTGCCTTAACTGCCATTATTAAATGATTTTATTTTGGGAGAATTGATCTCATTAAAAGCTGCCTCCCACACCAAGGAAGACAGAAAAATTATGGCTAATTGAATTGCCTCATGTGTCCACTAACACTTATTGCAGGAAGAAACCCAAATATCATCTAATCTTAACATACATTACTTTTAAGTGATGGTGTAACACCTGGCATCAAACAGCATTAACTATTCTAATAAATTCAGTCTGTTAGGTTACAGCAGCTCCATCTCTGTGCTGAAAAATTCTGTCCAGAGTCAGCAGCTCACAAGCTCCATCTTTCCCTCTGTCACTGCACCCTGGCTCTATTTCATCTACTTCAATATTTAATTCCTGAAGTTCAGAAACTCTTTAAATCCCTATCAAGCAGGATCCAACATGCTCTATAGCACTCAATAGAACTGCTGGCAAGCACATTGTAAAAGGATACCAGACTTTATTGGGTATTTATTTTGGTGGTGACAAAACAAGTTCTGGAAATCCCAGAGAAAAACCGTGCATGGATTTACAAGTTCCTGCCTACATATTTACACTGTCAAAAGCAGCAGCCTGTTTGAACAGCATCTGAGGAGCCTGGACTGGAGCTGCCAATAGCTTTGGCAGGCTTTGGTGGAAGCTCCTCTCGGACCCTCGCGTTTCACAGCAGAAAAGTCAATTTGCCTTTTGACCTCTGTTTTGCCAGGGAAAAAAAAATCAAAGCCACTCAGTTGCCTGAGGTTAGACAGCAGGTCTGTGCTGCATTCCTGAGCTCAGCTCCTACACCAAGACCTCTGGAATCGCATAACTTTCAACACACCACCAGCCAAGTGAACTGGTTTCCTTGCAGATATGGTGTCAAAAATGCATTACCCTCTCTGGTTCAGCCAACAGCAGAAACAGTGATTGTCTTCTGAGACTGACAGGAACAGCACAGGCTGTCCACAGCACAGCTCACATGAGGCATCTGATGCAGGGACCACTGGAGAGCCACTTGCCTGGGGCCTCCCAGAGAATGGGTCTGTTTGGCTGGCAGTGGTGAGTAAGCATTTCAGAAGCTGCTTGTGCTCAGCAAGCCAGCTACCAACATGTTCCAGCACCCTCCAGGAAATCTGGGACAGAGAAAGCTCAAAGGCTGCATCCTGCTAAGAACACTGAAAGCAAGAGCAGATGCCATCCATCCTGCTCACTTCCAGCCAGGACTGCAGGGCAGCAGCTCCGATGCTCTGGTTCCTTTGCTGCTCTTTCCCAACTCTGCTCTCACCCAAAGGTGATATCCTTTGCACAGGGACAGATGAGCTGCCTCACCTCTGGGTGCTCAGCTGGTAATGAGCTGTCCGGTTACCGACATTGCGAACCAGCAGAGTCTTCTGGGTGCTGTGCTTGACCGGACACTCGGAGAAGTCCACCTGGGCAGGGAAGTCCAGGATGGCTCGGGGACCAATGGCCCGGATTGGCACAATGAACTCTTCCCTTTCAGTGGTGCAGGTGAGCTCATAGGAATAATCCTGTGGGAAAAGAAACTGTCTCAGCACAGAGCCTTTATCCCCATCTTAAGCACAGGCAAAGAGTATCTCCCAGTTCTAGATCCTCTGATACCAGAACAGGTCCTCAAAACCCAGGCCAGATGCCCTGAATCCAGCCTTGCAGGTCCACTTTCCACTGCAGACACCAACCTCTTGGGCCCTCCAGACTCACCTTTTTCTGCCCAGGGGTGAAGAGGATGTGGACAGTCATGTAGAGGCCCGGTGGCACCTTGCGGCACGCGTCATTGGGGCCCACCAGCTGGAAATAAGGTGAGCTCTTCATGGTGACCTTCACCAAGTGAGGAACCTGCAGGAGAGACATGGAATGATGGTTTTTCCACTTGTGGAGACAAGTGGACATGCCCTGGTGCCATCCTTAACCACTCTTCTGTGCTCTCCTCTTCCAGCACAGCGTTAAACCTCCAGGTCCCGGCACTCACCTTGTCCCTGTTCCTCAGAACCAGCGGCACTTCACAGACCTCATTGGGGCTGTAGTTCTGGAACACCACCTCTGGTGGGCAAGGCTGAATTGAGCTCTGCTCTGGGTCAGCTGCTGAGAACTGCAAGGAGAGGCCAGAGAGAGCAGAGACAGGTTCAGCTGCTGGGAGGAAGATTCTGCTCCGATCCCCAGTGAAGTAGAGACTCTGGGTGAGCACATCTGCCCAGCCCGCACTGCGCAAACAGTGGCTCTCCCACCTCTGCCCTGGGCTGATGAAAAGCTCCTGGAGCAGGCTGAGCAGGCTCAAGCCAAGCTGCTCTTTTGGCATCCTCCTCAAATATCTCATCAAACAGCAAGGGCAGGGAAAGGCTACCTTGTGATGGGAGGTCCCAGGCTTGTCTTGAGGCTGGACAGCCTGAGGCAGCCTCAGCTTCTTAGCTCTGGCCAGCCTCTGCTTGGTGCTCAGAGACATCTCCTTCTGGAACGCAGAGGGAGTCAGCTGAAAGGCAAAAATCCAGCAAGAGTCTCAGAAATGCCCTTGCTCATGAAGGCTTTTCTTCTTCACTTATTACTGATGAATAATTTGTGATCACAGCCACTAGGACAGTTCTGGAAACCCTGGAAGTTGCCTGCTGAAATACTTAGCACCAATAAATTAATAATACAGAGTGCAATAGACATACTCCAGCCACATGGCTCTGTCCCATGAGTCTCTCTGTGGTTTGATGGGACATGTTTGGGGATTTCTGCTCTTGGGGCATTTGTTTCCTCTTACATTTCACTGGATTGAGGCAGTGACCTTTCCAGAGAGTGGGGAGGAGCTCTCAGAACTGCCTGAACTCCACCCCTGCACAACACTCAAAACTCACAGGCAGGAGATAGCACTGCTGGCTGAGTCCAAGGGAAGCAAGCAAGACAAGCTGTACCAAGAGTGAGGTGCACAGGAATGTGTCCAAGTTTTAGCTCTCTCTGTTACTTAGCATTGGTTTTCTCTGTCTGGGCTGACAGAGCCCTCGAGAGAAGAAAACAGAGGGATGTCCTTGGCAGAGCCTCAGCAGTGGGGCATCTTCAGTCAAGTGAGCTGCAGACAGCAAGGGACCTTTGTGGCCCTGGCTCCAGTGCTGCCTGCAGGGCTGCATCTGTGCCCACCCAGGAGCTGGGAGAGAACAGCTGCTTTGGAAGCTCTTCCAGCTGGGACCAGCCGTGGCTCTCAAGGCTTGGGGCAGAGTTTGAGCCTCCCCCTCACATGCCCAGGTGCCCAAGGGCAGCTTGGTCAGAGCAGCACAGGTGAGTGCCCAGCCTGACAGAAGGAATTGCTGTGGCAAAGGGGAAGGAAAGAAGCCCATGCTGAGGGCTTCAGCTGTACATTGGTTTCACTTGGCTCTGCTGGCACAGCCAGGCAAGGCGCTGGGCTGTCCCTGACACATCCCACAGTGTTCCCTACTGCACCAGGACAGCCCCAGCAACAGGAGCATGGCACAGAGGGCTGGGGAGGGGCTCTGCAGCTTCAGAGCACTGCTGGACAACAGGGGCAGGGAGAGCAGGGACACCAGGGCAGTTTCCAGCCTTAACACAGCCCCAGGGGCTACTCACAGTATTAGGCTTAAGTCCTTCCCTAAGCAAAAGTCGAGGTGTTGGTGTCCTTCCTGGGAATCCAGATGCCATTGTGAAGAGATGATGTCACAGATGTGTGACAGTCCCTCAACAGAACTGGAAGGAACAACAATGGAACTCTGAAAATCCAGAACCCAGTTCATGGCAGACTCAAGGGATATACTGGTGCTAAAGATTTTCTATGATTTGAAAGTAGCTATGTGCTTGTTTGGCATAAGCAGCTAGTATTGTTAGGCCTCTAGTTGGACTTTATTTGAACTACATGGTTACCTTGTGCAATTCAAAGATGGATCATACTGGAACCTGGAGCTAAAATGCTCAACATTAAAAATACTTAGAACAATCAAAGCTGTAGCTTAAATATTATTTAAAAACAGCTTGAGTGGACCTCCTCTTCTTTAGGCTAAACAACCCCTGCTCTCTCAGCTGCTCCTCACAGGACTTGAGAGAGACTGGAGTGTTATGGCTAATGGCTTAAATATTGCTATAAAGAACTTTTTGCCCATTGTGACAAAATTGAATAAAGAAGCTGAGACCCCCAAGCCCACCCTTCCCTGAAAATGCCTCCTGACTGGAACTTGGCACTGTGAGTTAAGCTGCCTAAGGGAACTTGAGACAAGATAAAGCTGACACTAGCATCCCATTAGCTCAGGTCTGGGGAGAAGTGAACAAGGCTGAGGGAGAAAAATACATCCCCACTAAAGCCAGACCCAGCAGCTGTGCTGAAAATCAGCTCTGTCTGCCTTCAGGCTGGGGAAGTCATAGCCACAGACTCGTCTGCTGAGGCCAGGTTTGCACACAAACCTCCCATCAACAGAGGGGGGAGGAGGAAATTCTGGGCGTGTGGCACAACCTCTGCTAGGGGGCAGTGGACACCCATCCTCCCTCAGACAAACTGGCTCAGCTCTAAAAGCCCCCAGCCCCAGAAGGCCACATCCAGGGGACCTTCCCATGAGGGGCAGCTGAGGGGGTGTCATAACCCATCAAAGACCTCCAAAGTGCCCCCACAGCCATTCCTGAGGCCTTGCACCAGACAACTGCAGGACATGCAAAGTAACACAAGAGATCTGAAAAGCCACAACCCAATTCAGGGCAGACTCAAAGGATATCCTAGTGCTAAAGATTTTATATTATTTGAGAGTAGCAAGAGACAGAGCCAAACTTGCCCCACCCCAGGGAGCTACCTGGGCAGTCCCACCTTGCCCAAATCTGCATTAATCCTTTGGAGTCTTCCATTTTGTGAGGCCTCACCACAGAGAAGACCAGAAGAGGATTTGAATGGGATGGGATCCATGGAATGGTGATATTTTCTACTAAATCTCTCTCTGTCGCTCTCTTTCTTCTCCCCTTCCCAGCTCCCTCCCTCCCCCCTCCTTTTGCTATTTCTTTCTCCCTCTCTCTTCCTCACATTTACTGTTCCATAAAATCCAAACTATTGACTTTGGCACGTGGTCATGTTTTGCACCTTAATCCAGGGGCATCTCCTTAATAATTTTAATAACCAGATCATAACAACCCCCTGAAACTTGAACAGAACTCATTCACCTATAAGTAGTTTAAATAAATACTATAGGAAAAAAAGGATAGACTAGTATATTTAGGAAATGTTGCATTTCTTCGGTGAGACAAAAAGCACCATCAGCAGACCATATATTGTTCATCCCCTCAGCTGTACATGCCACCAAACTGAAGACTGGCATTATCCCATCCTGTATTTCCCTCTGGCATTCTCTTTCAGAGCAGAGATGTGACAAAACCAGAAAGTACAACCTGAGTCAATCTTTACCTTCAAACGAAATTCAGGACTCCCTCACAGAAACCAATGTTCTGTGAATTTAGGAGTCCCTAGCAGAAACCAATGTTTTGCGAGTTTCCGAGTTGCTCACAGAGACCAATTCTCCGCCAAATCACAGGACTCGTAGAGACCAATCTCTGCGAACCATTCGCTTGGCTAATGCCGAGTGCGAATGAGCAGCAGCGCCGGCTGCGGGCGCTGAGGCCACGGCGCCGTCACAGACGCTGAGGGCCCGGGCGCGGTTACCGGGCAACCGCGGCACCGAGCCTGGGGCCGGCCCGGGCCGGGCCGCGCTGCTTTGCAGAGGACATTGGCACTTTTGCTGCTGACTTGACTTTAGTGCTTTCTGACGAGTCTTTCTGTATTTATGAAAGATTAAAATGTGGTGATAAAGGCACCTATGGCAGGTCTATACACTACTCTTTGTATAGCACTAGGATGCTATCCTGGCTGGAGCCCCAGCAGGGGCTGAGGGAGCTGGGCAGGGGCTGAGCCTGGAGCAAAGGAGGCTCAGGGGGGCCCTTGTGGCTCTGCACAACTCCCTGCCAGGAGGGGACAGCCGGGGGGTCGGGCTGTGCTCCCAGGGACAGGGACAGGAGCAGAGGGAACGGCCTCAGGCTGGGCTCAGGCTGGGCACCAGCAGGAATTTCCCCATGGAAAGGCTGCTCAGGCCTTGGCAGGGGCTGCCCAGGGAGCTTGGCAGTGCCCATCCCTGCAGGTGTCCCAGGAAGGGCTGGAGGTGGCACTCAGGGCTCTGGGCTGGGGACAAGGTGGGCATCAGGCACAGCTGGGACTCCGTGGTCTCAGGGAGCTTTCCCAACCTTGATGATTTCATGAGTCTGTGATTCTATGAAGGGATGATTCAAACCAGATTTTAACTCCAAATATATCATACACAAATATTACAAAGGTCAAAATTCACGTGAAAGAAATTTAAGATTATTCTTTAAGATTGAAATAATCATATGTCAATGTTGCATACAACATTGTTACATACAATATTGTAAAGCCGTATAAAAGAAGAGCTTTGTTACCCTTGTAAAATTATGGCTCAGGCCTGCTGCTTCAGCTAAGTACAGCTAACAGCTAGCCTGACAAGTTCCTGTGAGAAAGGAGAAGAAAGAAGAAGAAAGACTTCTACCCCCAGCTTCTATCCAGGAGACAAGAATGTAAACCTCGTTAGGGAGGAAAGGTTTTGACTAACATGTACTTTAGCAACTACCAACCAATGAACCGAATTGCAGTAAATTACTAACCAATTAAAATGAAAGACAATGCCTTTAGAAAACCATATAAATGTGAGCTGTGAAGAATAAAGATGGGCTGTTGTGCATGAAGATAGCGACATGTAAGGACAGCATTACATGAACTACCCTTGGGTTTAACATCTTCAGTGAAAAGTTAAACTGGACCTGTCTATTAGGAAAGGATTATTGGTTCAAATTTTCTTGTCCTTGAAGAGAATTCAAAAGTCTTTATAGATATATTACTGCTTATGTAAATACAAACACCTTCATGTTAACATGTAGAGATACATTCTGATTAACATTATTGACAGACCAATGGAAGAGGAAAAATAATCAGATTTTATAGGCTGACTTCTTCCCTCTAATACCTGGCCTTTCTGGCTGAGATGCCAGACTCATGACCATACTGCTTAATTCTTTTTCAGTTAAAGATGATACAGAGTTGTGAGAAAAGCTGTGCCTCCAATGAGGCCTGGCCTTGTACACATCTAGTAAAAAAGATATTTCTGTGTTTGAAGTTTCTCAAAAGGCAGATCTTTGCCGTGGAAATGCAACTCTCAGTCAGTGACTGTGTTGGCAGAAGATGAAATAAAATGCAGCTTGTGCCTTTTCTGTGTTTATCTTTTTGTGCGCGGGTTTTAGAGTTTGTTTTGTGTTGCTGCCTTTGCCCTGCTCTTTTCCCCGCGGGTGTTTTGGGGGAGCAGAGGCGCAGCGGCCCCGGGGGCGCTGTGGCGGCCGAGCCAGGCGAGCCCAGAGCGGGCCGCATTCACGGCCGCAGGGCCCTGCTGGGATCCATGGATAATGAGAGGATTGGCCCGCGCAATGAAGGGATGACTATTGTGTGAATATTAAGAGAAGCTTTATTGATGTGTAGTTATGTCATTGCACTTTAAATGTCCTCTCTTCTCCCCATAGTTTCCCTTTTTGTAGGGCTTTCCCTCTGCCCTGTGGGCGGCACAGGCCCCTGCTCTGGCGCAGAGCTGCTTGATTACTTCTGTCTGATAGGAGGTAGGAGCCTTACCTACTGTGTTTGTGCGCCTTGAAAACGTGTTGCTATAGGGGTTTTTTAAATTTATTTCGTTTTCTGACTAAATTCTGATTGTTTTATATAGTTTTACAGTTACTGGAGAGATTGAAAAGTGGTAAATGCAACACCTTATTACCTATCAAATTTTAACATGGTCTGATATTTTTAACAAGAATGCTAACAAATTTGCCATATAAAATGATGCCAGATACAGTCACAAAAAGCTGTTGGGTTATTCAGCAATATGCTAAATTGCACGTTATTATATTTATTTTTCAGTAACCCTGCACTTTAAAAAGTCGTACTGAATTTCTGTTTCCATGGAATTTGCAGTTCCCATGAGTTTTTCTCATAACTGATTTACTTAGAATTCCAATATGCTTTTTACAACTTTAATCCCTCCAGTACACCATCATGCTGTTATTTCATTTATGGCTTATTCACCTTTCAGTTGTCTAACAGATAACCAGTGAAAACCTTCATGAGATAATACCCTCACAAGAGTGAGCTGTTTCAACATCAGAACATAGGAGCCTTTTTTAAATGAATGAAAAGGGGGAGATGTCATAGACAGGTAGAATAATGATAAAAGAAAGGCCTTATGAAATCAGGCCTTGTTCTGCAATATTAACAGCTGGCCTGTCATCTCTTCTAAGTGCAGAGAAGCAGTTACAAGTTCCCATGTGAAGCTATTTTGAGAATAAGAGTTCGTTAACAATCTCTTCTGAGGGTGAAAAACAAATGTACCTGCAACATCAAGGATTTGTCCCATGAGAATCAGTGCAGAGAACAAGTAAACAATACAATAGAGAGATTTGATGCACAAGTAAAATATATTTTATTAACCAATAGCTTACTTAGAAAGAAATCTATTAACTAATTAAAGTTGCACATGAGGTCTGAAACTGTATAAACTGAGTTGAGTGAATAAAGAATAATCTTTCCCTGCCTGAAAAAACTGAGTCCCAAGAAGGGGTAACCTCCCCATCAGCACAGATGATACCCAGTCATTGTGGAACATCATCATCTGACTGTCCCCTCTGTAACTTTGCTTTGCATCTCCAGCTGAGATGACTAAAGATTGCTTTGGTCTCTACATTTTTGTTCAGGTTTCTTCTTCACCTTCTCCTGAGGCTTATTGGTCTTCTGACCTTTGTTTCCAGCTGCATGCTGGAACTTGTTTCCCTTTTGGATCACAGGTATCTGCACAGTACCCTGAACTCTGTTCCAGTAGGAGAAATTCTGCTGCAATGACTCATAGATCTGAAACCTCTGGATCAAGTTCTCCATCTCAGCTGCGTCCTCTGGGATTTCAGTTTCTCCCTTCTTTGGGGCTTTGGTTCTCCCCTTCTTTTGGGCTTTGGTTCCCCCCTTCTCTGGGGCTTTGGTTTCATCCTTCTTTGAGGTTTTGGGTTCCCCCTTCTCTGGGGCTTTTGCTTCCCCCTTCTTTGGAGCTTTGGTTTCCTTCTCTGGGATTTTGGTTGCCTTTCTCTCTGGGGATTTAGTTTCCTTTTCTGGAGGTTTGTTTTTCTTCTCTGGGGGTTCGGTTGCCTTCTTTAGGATTTTCATCTCCTTCTTCTCTGGGGGTTTGGTTTCCTTCTTTTCTGGAGGTTTGTTTTTCTTCTCTGGGATCATGGTTTCCTTCCTCTCTGGAGCCTTGGTTTCCTTCCCCTCTGGAGCCTTGGTTTCCTTCTTCTCTGGGGGTTTGGTTTTCCCCTTCTCTGGTTTTGGAGGTTGCTTCCCCACAGAGACACCCTTCTTGTCCTTCTTCCGCTTCTCTTCCTCCTTCCGCCTTTCTTCCTCCTTCCGCCTCTCTTCCTCCTCTAAGGCTTTTGCCTCTTCCTCACGCTTTTGAGCCAGCCGCTTCAGCTCCCTTCAGCAAACAAAACAGAAAAAATCGCTGAGAGTCCCCACCAGAAACTTGGGCTCAGCAGTCCTGGCCGGCCCTGCACTTCATTCCTTGGCCCTGAGGCCAGGCAGAACCACGAGACCATTTCCGTGAATTTTTCTCAACCCACAGAGGTTGGGAACATCCCAAGTGAGGGCATTGGTGGAAGGGGACCTCCAGGACCAGCCAAACCTGAACCTTGCCATCATAAGGTCTTGGCTGTGCAAGCTCCCTCTTAAGGCACAGCCAGACACCTCCAGCCCACTGCCAAAGGCTGATCCAGCAGCTCTCTGTGCTGATGCCTGAAAATGCTCTTTGTCTCTTGATTTCCCAGTTTAAAGCAGATCACAGATTGCTGACATCTGCTTATCTCTCCTACAATTCTCACTCAGCTCATTCAGCACCCCTCAGGGCACAGCCTGCTCCTTAATGAGAATAATCCTATCAGTCAGAAAGCAAAGGCTGCAGGAACTCCTCTCCTGCAAGACAGGCTCTTGTCAGCCAGATTTCCTGCAGGAACCCAGCTGTGAGCAAGCAAACCGGTGCTCTCTGCCATGAAAGCCATCTGAAACAGCCTCATCTGTCTCCTCCCCATGAAACCAACTTCAGCCTGGGCTGAAGGAAGTCCTGATACACAGACTTGCTTTAACCAGCCTCCACTCTCAGCTCCACACTTTGCCTGTGTGTCCTGAGCTGGGCTGCCTTGCTGGAGCTGAGCTTCTCCTGGGCTGGCCTACTGCTGCAGCTGAAGGGGAGCCTAAAGGACGTGAGCTTCTGTGGGTGGTGTCCCACCATAAGGAGAAGCCTGGCAGATCAGCATTGCAAGGACTTGCAATGCTGTGGCAGGAGCAGGACCCAAACCAAGCTTTGCTCTGTGCCCCACACCTGCCCATACCACAATCCCACTGTTTTGGTGAAGGGAGATGATCAAGAAGGTGCAACTCAACACCATGGACCTAAAGACACCTCTAGAGGCAGTGCCAAGGCAAGCCCAGAGCCCAGCTCCCTGCAGGCAGCATCTAAGCCAGGAGGGCTCAGCACTCCAATAGAGAAGAAGATCTTCTGTCTCAACAGAAGAAGGTCCTTCCTCTCTTGGGAGCCAGGGAGCTCAGAATGGCCATCCCTGTGCTGCTTCTGGCCTTTGCTATCCAGCACCTCTGAGCTCAGAGTCCTTGGAGCAGGGAATTGCCCTCCAGGGACAATAACCCATGGAACAGCAGTAACCCATGGAAGCCTTACTCACTTTTCCCTCCGTATGCGCTTCCTTTCCAGTATTATTTTATCCACTTCTGCTTTCTTCTCCTTAGGGAGGGCATCATACTCATCCTCATCCATTTGTAAGATACATTCTGCTTTCCTCTGCAGAGCTTTCTCTCGCTGCAGTTCTTTAGCACAAAGAGGAGAAACCATGAGTGACTGCAAGCTGACCTGGGTGCTCTGTGCCAGCTGCAGGGATTCACAGCATTTCCTGACCCAGCCTATCATCCCAGGAGATATTGGGGAGCTTGTATCCCTCCCCAGAATTCAGACAATCCCCCAAGCTATGGCCGGGCAGTAAATTCCCCATGCGCTCGGATCCCAGGAAAGGAGACTCGGTGAAAGCAAGATGAGATTGTTCTTTTGTTGCTAGGAAGGTGCAAATATAAAAGAGCCAGTGATATTAGACCTGGTCCTACTGGCTGAGGAACTCATCCAGCCCTAGTCTTTGTGGCTAAGGGACACAAGGAAATATCCTGATTATTTCCCCAGTCTATGGCAGGCAGATAGGAGCTTGCTTTGGCTACACTCAGGGTTGGTAGAGGATGCCACAGCCCTTCAGCCAAGAGCTCCTCCACCAAGCTGGGGAACAGGCAGCTGCTAAAAGAATGGGCTTTCCCTGGAGAGCAAGGTGACAGAGAGAGTTCAGGGTGTATGGGCTGGACCACAGGCAAAACAGACACCACCAAACCCTCACTGTTTTTCTGACCTGCTGCTGCCTTGCCCATGGCCTTGGCCTCAGCCCTGGCCTTGGCTTCTGCCATGGGCTTGAGCTCTGCCTGTTGAGCCTTTGGCCTCCTGTGTGCTTCGTGGTCCTGCAGCACCTCTGGAGGCAGTGTCTCACCCATGGCACGTGGAGGCATAAAAAAGCTCTTTTGGTACTCAGACCTTAGTGACATCTGCAGGATCTGTATGTGGAGGGAAGAGAAACCATACGCAAGATTCCTTTTCTTGCCTTTCATCACACAGACTCAATCAACCCATTTTCTGTCTCCTCCCTTCCTCCCAATAACACCAACTATTTAGTTTAGGTCCTCCCACAGCATGTCAGCAGAGCTGGCTTTGCCCTGGGGATTGCCTCCATCTCCCTGGCACAAGCCTGGGAATGCTGGAGTGCTGTGAAGCTTGGGCAGCGTGTACATGGGGACCAGACCTGCCTTCTCACCTTCTCCTCCTCAAGGTACTGCTCATCAAAATCCAGTGAGTGAGACTCAGTGGGGAAGTTGCATGGGTTCTTCACCACCACTGTGGCCTCCACCCCATTGCTGTCCACCAGCATCCCTCCCATCTTTAGTGCTGGGGGTCTGAACTCCAACCGTGGCTCCAGACCTTTTCCTGAGAGGTGCAGCTTTAAGCGATTGCTGCTCCCACAAATGATAAACTCCAGCTCATTCTTGTAAGACCTCTGAAAAGAGGAAAGTGCAGAAAACTCATCCATGAAGTCCCAGGTGACAGGACCCCAAATACAACAAGGCTTGCCCCAAGGTCAGGGTGTTATCAGTCCCTCCAAGGTGAATGGAAACCAGATATTTACTTATGCTAGGGACTAGAGCATCTGTAGTAGTCTGGGTCTGAGTAACTGGGATGAATGCTGGTGTGCACTGTAACTGGGTATTTGGGAATCAGATGGATGTATGTACAATGGACTGTCAGACATTTTCACCTAGTCATGCAGGAGTGCAGTGCTCATGGGAAGGGCCCTCAGGGTTACAGTGTCCAGACACAGTCCTGGCACTGCTGCATCAGGCAAACACCAGCTCCACGAGAGAGGCAAATGAGCTCTCACTGGCAAGAAATAAGGGTCATCTTCTTCTGCTTAGTGTCTGGCTCTGGTCCAAGCCAGACACAAGATGGTTACATTTCTTGAGCAATTAAAAGATCCCTGGGACTGTGTGTGGGCACAGAAGCACTTGTGGCCATGCTGGTACACGCTGCCAGTTTCCGAGACCCAGCAGCCACAGGCAAACCACTTTTGGGAATGCTTTGTCCTTTAAGCTGAATCCCCAGCTGCACAGGAATGTGCAGGCAGGCCAGAGCCCCAGGGACTGCTGGCAGCACCCCACTACAGGTGACCGTCCTGCTGTGCCCAGGAAGGTGGGTGGTGGCTGTTTGGTCTGTCAGTCCTGCAGCAGGATGAGCCATTCCAGGATTATCCTCTGTGAGTGGGCAGCTGCTCTGCACTGAGTGTCACAGCTGCAAATACAGCCAGGCAAGGGGGAGGCTGAGGGGAGTTGGGCACATCCCCCCCATGTGCCAAGAGGCAGCCTCAGAGCCCTGGTGCTCTCTGTGCAAGCTCCCTGTGGGCATTTCAAAGCACATCTCACACGAGTGCTCTGTGGGGTGAACTGAGCCACGCAGAGTATGGGGCTTGCAGAAAGCTCCCTGTGAAGGCAGAGCTCCTACCACACTCTCTGCACCAGGCCCTCATTTCCAGACAGCCCTGACAGCCTCCTGGGCTGACACCCGCCAGTCTCACCTCCTCCTCGGGTGTAAACTGGATTTGCAGATCCTGCCACTTTCCTGGATCAAGGGTTCCTTTGGAGGGCGTCACGTCAAAGGGACAGGGCTCATCCACCAGCACCTGCAGCTTCTGACGTACGGCTGGTGTCATGAATTTGAGGTGACTATTCTGGGCACAGAAACCAATCATGTGAGGTCTCCTCACACTGACACGGAGCTGAGAGCACCCACAGCCAAACCAAGTGTGGCCCCAAAGCCCAGAGCTGGAGGGAAGCCCTGGAGACAGGGCAGGCAGATAGGGAACTACTGTCCTCAGAGGAGGAAGAGGAATGGGTGAAGATGGCAGCAAAGCAAAGCATCAGCTAATGGAACAGGTTGAGGCAAACCAGCCTTGATCTAGACCCTCAGAACTTTCCTCAAACACACTGTAGACTCAAGTGCTCAGGCAGCCACAGGAGCAGAAAGAGCAAGAGTCACAAAGAAAACCCGACCAAGTTCCGTGTTCAATGTGGCCTGTGCTTTACCTTCAGAGCAGGCTTGTTGGAAGCAATGAACCATTTGCAGGATTCTGGGAACCGGTTGTAGAGTTGGATGGTCTCAACCTGGCACTGCCCAACAGGGATGTCAGAGAACTGCAGTCTGTTCTTGGTGAGGGTGAGTGACACTTCAGACACAGTGGCACGGATGCGGATGCTGTACATAGGGCCTTCTGTCACCTGGAGAAGGACAGAGGATTCAGCAGAGGGTGCGGGTGACATCTGCTGCTGTGCCCAGCCTGCTGCCTGCCCCAAGAGCTGTGGTACCTCTATGGGCAGCAGCACTTCCACGTCACCATAAGGCTTGTTGGCACTTTCAAAGCGCACGTCAAAGTCCACGCTGTTGTTGGGGGGCAGGCAAATCATCTGGTCCAGGCCCACGCTGAAACCTTGAACAGATGAACACAAAGCAGCTGAGATACACACAAAACACAAAATGTGTACAAGCACGTTAAGGCCTTACAGGTGTCCTGGCTGAGAGGTCTGGCAAAAGCCCCACACTGTGCTGTGACCTGGACAAAACTTAAGAGTGCACCTGAACACCCTTCAGACACAGTGAGCCACTGTGTGATGGAAGGGCAGCCTTGCCTCAAGGCCTCTTTGCCTCAAGGCCTCTTTTGGAAACCTCTTTTGATCCACCAGAGGATCTCACAGGCTGCTTCCTCAATAAAGACTGAATACAAGTGCTGTGACAGTGTGAACTCCAAACAAAGCACTTCCAAAACACAGCAGACCCCACTGGTTGGCAAAACAAGCCCACAGAGTGCCCAAAGAAACTTGCTGCTCGTGGGAGCCAAGGGGGGAAGATGCTGAGAGGTGACCAGGGTGATGAGTCCATTGGCCCCTGCACTGAAGTGTTGGGGCAGTCGCAGGCAGGCCAGGTCCCTGGGCATGGCTGGCCAGGAGAGCTCTGCCTCTAAAGCTCCCAGCAGGGGCACTGAGAAGAAAAAGCTCAGAAACCTCCCCAGGTTCAGGGGCTTAAGCTAATCTGTCTGAGACACCTCCTTCAAGGCCACAGGAAGTGTCTCCAGCACTGCTTACCTGTGTCCTGCAGGACAGATACATCGACCTTGAAGGACACATGGATCTGCCCAGGGTTGGTGATCTTCAGAGAGCGTGTCTCAGTGTAACCCCTAAGGACAGGGCCCATGTCCAGGACATACTGGGGCAGCTCAACTCTGCAAGGAATAAGGACAGTCCTTAAACCACAGCCTGGCTACACATCCAAGTGGATGGAGGATACAAATACAGTGGCTATTTCTTTATTCACTGCTGTAAAAACTCAGCTCAAGCCCATGAAACCCTTAGCCTGACCACCTGGCAATGACTTTGGGAAGTCAGGAGGAGTGCAGGCCCTAGGTTTGATCAGCTACTAATGGTACCTGAAAATAAAATTAGTTTAAAATGGACACTGGCCACAGCTCGTCTGCCATGAAAAGCCAGTCTAGGTGAGTCCACTGGGCCTCCACTGCTCTCAGTGGAACTGCCTAGCCTGGTGTACAGCCTGAGCCTGAAATTGCTTTGGGGTCTAGGAATAAGGTTTGCCTGCACAGGAAATCTTCATTGCTCTGCAACCAGACCACATGAGCTGCTCTGCAGAGCATCTTCTTCCTGAATTGAAGCCTCCCATGCTTGTGCTGCATCATGATGGTGCAAAGGGACAGGCCATGTCACCTGCCCTGCCACCCCACCAGGATTCAAACCATCTGATGTTGGGTTTTAAAGGGTTTGCTGACATGTGCAGCTCCCTTCTCCTTTTGTTCAGTGTCACAGCTGCACAGCTGTTAGTTGGAAGCAAGACTTCAGCTGGGAGTTGTCTCCTTCAGAGCTAGGCAGCAGGGACAGAATCTATGCTGTCTGGAAGGGCCTGAAGGTCTGCACTGGGTCCCCCAGCTCTAGGGACAGAACCCCACAGCTGTGGGAAGCTGAGCAGTCCAAAGCTCAGCGTGGTGCTGGGGAAGGGAGGACACTCCACTGCTCACATGCAGCGTGTCACAGCCACCAGGACCAGACCCTTTCTGAAGTCCAGGCTGTTCCCAGCTCTGCAGAAACAGGGAGCTCTCAGGAGAAGGGGACATGGCTGGGTGTTCCCAAGGGGCACCTGGAGATGGGGATGGGAGTCCCTACTCACTTGGCAAGACTCTGGCACAGCTGCTTGTCAGGGAACCTGCTCTTCAGGGGATGGGATGTGAGCTTTTGCTGCAGCTCCAGAGCAGCCTTCTCCATCAGCATCCTCATCATCTTTATCTGCAGCTGAGTGTCTGACTGAAGAAAGGGAAGACAGTGGCTGGTTAGCAAAGGTCCTTCCCAAAGCCCAGCTTGCACCTGAGAAAGGATCCCACCCCACTCTTGTTGGGAGGGGGTGTGGGGTCCTCCTGTCTGGCTGCTCAGTGCCTGTGACACCTCCTGCTCTCTTAGCCAGGACCTCATCTCCAGGGAAGTAACTCCAGCATCTTTGCCTGCCCAGACACTGTCAGCAAAGCTGATCTGGCCAGGCAGACAGACAAGCCAGGAACCTTCCAGAGCTCCAGATACTTGCCTGCCCCCAGCCTGTACCAAGGCAGCTTGGACAGCAGCTGTCTTGAAAGGGAACTGGGACCAAGCTGGTGCCTCTTGGAGATGAGCACCTCCAGCACAGCCCCAGGGCACAATCAGGCAGCTGCTGTTAAGGGCTGTAAATCTGGCAGGGCTTGGGTTGGGAACAATGAACTCCCCAGCAATGACCTGCATCTCCCTCAAAGCACCATCAACTCCATCCCTGGAGCATGGCCTTCAGGATCTCTCCCTGGGCTAGCCAGGAAGCTGCTGCAGCCCCAGAAGAGACATGACCAGCGGGGCAGCCCTAGGGGCAATGCTGAGGTGACACAAGGTTGTCAGTGGGCAGGGAGGTCCCAAGTGTCATCAGGGCACCAGGAGCTGCTGTGGGCTGCAAGGGGCTCAGGTGACATGGAGAGGGTGGCCTGTGCCAAACGGGGCTGCAGCTGTTCTTACTACAGTGCCAGAGGCAAGCACGCTGGGCTGCAGGTCCTGACTCTTTGGGTTCTGAGTCTTCAAGGTCTGAGTTGTCGGGGTCTGAGACTTCAAGATCTTGGTCTTCAGGCTCTGAGGCTTCTTCAGAATAACTGACTTATTCCTCTGATTGTCTTGTTGCAGGGGTTTTATGAGCTGTTTCAGTATCTTCTCATATTTTTCATTTCCTGAAGGAAGAAAACATCCACAAAGAGAAGTGTGAGCAAAGTGCCAGTCCCATTGAAGCTGGGAAGTCCCTGCCTCCCAACACTGGTTTCTACCAGAAAGAAATCCCTCAAGCCATCTATGGAAAGTGGATGCTGCTGTTCCTCTCTGAATCTCATCCCCTGCAATGTCACACAGATCCAACCCTGCCAGAAGCCCTGCCAGCCTCTCTTACAGCTTTCCCAAGCCTTTCACTCTAGCCATCGTCCTTCAGGGATGAGGATGGCAGGCTCTGCAGGTTGGCTCCTGGGACAAAGTCCACATGGCATCCTCTGCTCAAGACTCATGAAGCAACCAGGGGGCTTGACTTGGTCTGGGAGTCCTGCAACCCTCCAGGCTCGGTGGAGGTTGGCATGAGCTGCCCTCAGGGCCTATGGTAGGGAACAAAACCAGAGGGGCCTTTCCTGAGGGCAGACAGGCAGTGCCTACCTCTGATGATCCAGGGCAGGTCCAGACTGATCATGGGAAAGGATGCTTCTCCTTTCAGGCAGATATTTTCTGGTTGCTGGTCACCCACTTTAAGCTGATAAGTCCTGCTGAAGGCTCCTGGTAATCCTGGCATGTAAGAGAATTTCAGCACTCGCTTCTTGCCAGGTGCAAGGGAACCCTGCAGGGATGGGAGAAGAGGGAGGGAATGCATCAGAGTGTTTGATGAGGGATGGCTCAGGGGACAGACAGGCTGAGGAGACAGGTTCTCATCTAGAAGAAACCATCAGAACCACATCACCTTCATGATAAATATATTACAGTATTGGCTTTCACAATTGTTAGAGTAGATACTATGTGTTTTATAATGATGACTTTTGTAAAAGAAGTTTTGCTAAAGTTTAGAGTTCGTTTAATGAGAATGTTATGTTGTGATACCAATGTTGGTGAAGAGTTGTTGCAATATTAACATTTAACCAATGAAGGAATGGAAACCTGTTGAATGTGTAAAAAAGTAACAAATGACCTGGACTAGGACAACTGCACATACTCCAAAAAGGCAGGACAGAGGAGGAACTATGTTAAAATGTTTGAGAATGTATAACCATTTGTAAATATGCATTAGGCTGATGCAATACCCAGAGTATACAAAGGCTGTTGCTGTGTTGACTGGTGTGTGCCTCTGGTTGTGGCTAAGTACCCAAGTCAAACACCCAGCGCTTTTACTTCTACTTTATTGACTATTTCTACTATTGACTACTACTACTTCTACTTTATTGGTCCCCTGTTGTCTCTTATTAAATTTTCTTTAAATTTTAACTGAGGAGCAGGCTTTGTTACTCACACCTTCTACCTTCCTTGTGACCAAAAGGTCAAGCCTCTGACCCTGGGGTGCAGTTTGTTCTCCCCAGGGCTCACAAGGCTGCAGCCCCAGCACAGCCTGATGTGAGCACAGTCCGATGTGAGCACAGCTCTGCTGCTGATGGGGTTTGCCCTCTGCCAGCAAGAGCCTGCCTCATCAACAAAAGGCTCTTCTGCTGCCGCTGTGGAAGGGAAATCCCTGCACTGAGCAGGGCCAGCAGCTCCTCTTGTCCCTTGCAGGAGACAGGCATGAAGAAATGGGGAAGCCAATTGGCTTCCTCTTCCCACCGCAGGGAGGGACAAAGGCAGGAGCGCTGCTTCGGCTCAAAGACATCCGGCAGGACTGAGAAGCTTGGACAGCGGTGGGATGCTGCTAGCTTCTCTCCAGCTCTTCCAGCCCCGCTGCTCCCTGGCCCCCTCACTGCCCCACAAAGCCGCTGCACAGCAACAAAGCTGGAGGAGGCAGGGAGCAGCAAGCCTACTAAGGGATATGTGACCACACAGCCTGGGTAAGGTGACCCTCAGAAACACTCCAGTGCCAGCACAGCCTGAGATCTCAGCCATCGGGGTCCCCTGAGTGACTGTGAGCAATCAATTAAATTTTTACTTATGCCTCAACATACGTTATAAATCCACTTTCTAACGTGGGGTGAAAAGTTACTATAGAAGCTGTAGACGTGCTGGGAGCCTTAACACATCCCATGTGTAAAGGAGGTTGTTAGGAGAAAATGCAGACAGGCTCTGTGTCTAGGGGGCTGCAAGAGATTTCCCCCTTGGAGGCGGACAGACCCCAAAGCCCAGGAAAATTTTGCCTGTCTGAGCAAAAAAGTCCTAAACGGGCTGAGTTATGGGAGAAATCTCAGCATATAATAGCAGTTAACACAGACAGTTTTTCCCTGCCACTTTTGTTATTTTGTTGGGCTGGGAGCAGCCGGAGGGTCCGGCTCCCTACAGAACCACTTCTTCCCTGTCTGTCTACGCTGCTGTCGCCGCTTCCCCGCTCGCCACGGCAACCCAGTGCTCCGCTGTTCCGCCGAGGGAGCAGCCGCCGTGCCCCGACCGGGACAAACCGCGGCTGCTGAGCCCGGCCCGGCCGCAGCCCGCGGGACCCCGCTGCCGGCCCATGGAGCCCGGCCCCGCTGCCGGCCGATCCAGCCCCGGCCCCGCTGCCGGCCCATGGAGCCCGGCCCCGCTGCCGGCCGATGGAGCCCGGCACCGCTGCCGGCCCATGGAGCCCGGCCCCGCTGCCGGCCCATGGAGCCCGGCCCCGCTGCCGGCCGATCCAGCCCGGCCCCGCTGCCGGCCGATCCAGCCCGGCCCCGCTGCCGGCCGATGGAGCCCCTCCCGCCGCGGCGGGCACGCACGCTGGTGCGGTTGGCAGCACTTGCTCCATCTGCCGAGCAGGAGCCGACACAGCGCCTCAGGGCTCTCGCGGTGACGCTCTGTCCCTGTCCTGTGTTACTCTCTCTGTTTCTCATTTTCTCTCTTTTCTGTCCCCCCTCTGGTCGGGACCATGCCATTTCTTTATCAACAAACAGTTTTCAGATACACTACTTGCTGGGTTTGTGCCTTATTTTCCTCTGAGAAATCTATCAAAAAGAATTCTCCTCTGCTCCCCTTCCAGCAGGACAGGACAGTGACCCACGCACCTGTGCCTCCCGCCGGTGTCTGCCTCTGACAGCAGAGCCACCCACCAGCCAAGGCCGTGGGGGAGTCTGTCAGGAGAGCACTTGTTTGACCTTCTCTGGCCCCAGCAGAAATTGCTTACAGCCCTGTCTCTCTCATGGCTGGGTTTGGGGTTTTCCCCTCTGACTTTTTTCCCCCTTCCCCACCTCCCCCCCTTTTTTCCCTTTAACACTCTCCTGAGCCACCTGACACAGGGCTGGGCTCAGTCACTTGTGCTACTTACAGTGGTGGGGTTGACCAGAAACACACCAGGCAGATGCTTGTCTGCAGGGCTAGGCTTTAGCACCCAGTTGAATTCAATCTTGCCACTGTTCACCAGGGTGACATCGCTGTGATGAATTTCATTAAATATCTGGAGAGAAGGCACAGGAGAGGGAAGTTACAGACCCAGGCCTGCTGCTGGGAATCTCCTTCCTCCCTCCTGGGCTTGAAAGCAGACACATCATGGGAGCAGGGACCAGGGAGGAGATAGGGGCACTTGGGAACCTGGGGAACCCCCAGGCACAGGGCACCTGCACAGCACCAGGGAGCTCTGGCAGCACACAGAGCTGTGGTAACAACCATGTGAGGGCCAGCAATAAATGAACCAGGGCACACAGGCCCTCTGCCCTCTGAGGGGTCAGTCACCCACAGCCAGGAGAAACAGAGACAGCACTGAGGCATTCCAGGAGAAAAGGCACCTGCATGCAAGTATTGGCAAGCAACATAGATGCAACAAGGGAGTCACCCAGGGCAACACAGACAGGGCCAGCAGCTGGAAATATCTGTGGGCTTTTGACTGGAAAAGAGTGAAGTGGGGATTATTCTGGGACAGTCTCTCCAACGGTAGTGACTGGAAGCCCAACTTCTTCCCTTGATTATTGTGTGGATTAAGCAAGAGCTTTAGACAAGAGCATCTCCTTGGAGGTCAGGCTTTAGGTGTGGATCAGCAGAGAGATGTCTCAGGGACACACCCCTCAGAGCACCCCCACTGGGACCCTGCCTGCCCCAGAGGCAGTGTTAGGTACCCTGAAAAAGAGGCATTCCCAGCATTGTGGAGAGGGTTGGAGATGGCCATTTTAGAGCAGCTTGGATGCCAGATGTGTCCCTCAAAGGTTGGGCTTCCAAGCCCCAGAGCCAACAAAGGGGCTGGGAAGGGAAGGGAGCCCTGGAGCGAGGTGGGCAGGAACCTGCTGGCCGTGGTGCCAAGGCAAGGAGCTGTGCCAGGGATGTGTGTGGTACCTGTAAGCCACAGTTGATCTCCTGGGGCCTCACGGAGTAGCGGACACGTGAGATCTCCCCGGTCACCAGCACCTCGTAGGTGGGGCCTCCCTCCACGTGGCACAGCGCCGTGACATCAGAGATGGTGTTGAGGTGGCCAGAGAAGGTGAAGGAGACCTGCTGGCTCTCACCTGGCTGCAGCACACCTGACATTGGCAGGATACTGAAAGCCTGGATGGAAGACAGGAGAGCTTGAGCTGTTGAGCATGGCAATGGATGCAGAAGAGCATCTTGGAGCAAAGTGCAGCTGTACCTGGAGGGGCCTATTCCCCAAACACTGCCAGAATCACCCTCATCTCATCCTGCATCCATGCCACTGACCAGTGCAGGGACCATGGGGAAAATCTTCTCCCACACTCACAGATCAATGCATTAATTAGTACATTACGTGAAAGTGAACTGGGATGTCTCCTGGCAGTAGAAATTCTCTCTGATGCACAACTTGCCTTTAAAAAGCATTTCTTACTGCTTTTAGAAAAGGAGGAGGCTCAGAGTGAGAGCTCTCGGAGCTGAGCGAAGGACTCCAGCCCAGCTCATCTGACTCCTGAGGCTCTTCCCCTCTCTCTGATTTAAATGCTGCTTTCTCAAGGTGCTACAGCAAAAGCTCCTGCAAAAGTTTCCTATGGACCACCTGAGGAGTTCCAGGGGGAGCAGTGCCCTCCATAGGTGCTGCAAAGTGTCCTTGGGCAGCCCTACAACGTGTCCTGCATGGCCTCTCCAACTACCAGTTGCTTCAGCAGCACTTTGTGATGGGCCTGCATGGATGGGAGGCCCCTCTGTGGCCAATGCTGAGGCCCACCAGTGGCACTGGGAGCTCCAGCCCTGCTTGCCACACTGACAATGTGCAAGTGAGACAGATTCCCTCCTACCTTCTCTGCTTCGAGGGAAGTCTGCGGTTCGTCCATGGAGCTGCTGATTCCCTCAAACCCTACTTGGAGGCGAGGGTATTCAGGAAGTTGATCTGATTGCACCTGAAAAAGAAGCCATTTTCTATGCTGGGAGGAAGAGACAGCCATTTTGCAAAGTCTCCGTTTGTAAGACAGCTCCAGGGCCAGCAGTGCAATAGCAGCTCTGGGTGAAAGCAGAGCCCTGCAAACAGGGAGTCTGGCTGCCTTGGGAAGAGGCTCCATGGAGATCAGGACTCATCCCAGCTTGCTCTGGGAAGGAAGCTGGAGGCCTTACCATGATGATGCAGATAAAAGCCTCATCTTTCATTGTGAAGGCAAAAAATCCCACACTCAGCACAGGTCTGTAGGACCTGAGTGAGCTTCTCCAAGGAAAACTCTCCTATTTCTCCCTCCCACACAGCCCACGTCCAGCCACTGGCCCTGCTGCCCAGCCCACTGTCAGGGCACAGGACAGCAGGGCAGCAAAAAGGGAGGTCAGCACGAGCATGACTTGGTGGTGGCAGGCTGGGGAGGCAACACAAGCAGCAGATGTACAAGAAAATCTACCTTGTCTCTTAAAGACTGGGTAAAATCATCCGCTTCTTTCAGCATTCTGGCTGCCTGCTCCTGTCTCATCTTGAAGTGTCTCCATCGAGATGCTGGGGACTCCAAACTGGTATTCTTCCCTTTTGGTGGTTGGGGTTTGAATTTAGGTGGGCAAAGCTCATCTCTGGAAAATAAGATAACTATTGTGAAAAATGCCAATCACTTGTTTTCAAAATTTTAAAAGTTTAATAGTAATAAAATGGTTATAAAAATAGTAATACAATTAGAGTAAAAATAATTTGGACAATTTGAATTAGGACAACAAATGGGACAACAAATACAAAGAGTTATGGACGTCTGGGTACCTTTTTCTGGGCAGCACAAGCCCGAAAAAGGACCCCCACTAACAAAGGATTAACCCTTAAGAACAATAGCCCGTTGCATATTCATACACTTCATACAGGATGCATAAATTCCATTCAAACACAGGATTCTGTCTGGTCTTCATCTACTTCTTCCTTCTAATCCTAACAGTGCCTTCGAGGCGGGAAGAAGTTCATTTCTTCTGATAAGAGAGCAATAAATTCTTTTCTCTGAAAGATTTAGCTGTCCTGTGGCTGCTATCTGGTTTGAGTGCCTCATTCCTTTCTAAAAATAAACCCCACTGACATAGTTCTTCTTGTAACTACAAAAGTTACCTTTTAATTACAAGACTACAAGGACTAGGAGCCCTTCATCAAGGTGGACATGGTCTCAGGTCACAGAGGTCTGAGAAAGCAGCTTTCACCCCAGCTTTCCTTCCCAGGGGAAACCACTGTGGGGGCTGTGCAGCACCAAAGTGGTGGAAAACCTATTCCCTGAGCATCCAGCCTGAGCACAGCTGCTCAGTGCCATTTGTCAGATGCCAGGCAAACAGCTTTGCTCTTGGCCAAGTACAAACAGGACACAGCAAGAAGAGCTTCAAGGGGAGGGCAAAGGTGCACATACCTAAACCTGGTCACCTCGCTGTCGGAACGGAATGACCAGCGGTACTGGACGGGCAGTGGGCTGCAGTTGGTCATCTCCAGGGAACGCACTTTTTTAGTGCCAGCCATGATGCAGCCAAACTCCATGGAGCTGGGCTGCATTTGGAGATTTGGGAAGTGAACTTCTCCCTGAAGGGTGATATGCTCCACAAAAGGATGGCCCCTGACCATGTCTATCTTCAGAACCTTCTCTTTTTTCCAGCTCTTAAAATCCAGTTCATAAGCTGGGTCAAACACGATGTAGAGATGACAGGTCTCCCCTACATCCACTCTCACAGGCTGCAAGGAGATGAGCAGTAATTAATCACCTGTGGGATGATGTCCCAAGGTCTGACAGCATGAAACAGTAAATGCTCCAAGTGACCCCAGCACGGGCTTCTCAGTTCATGGTTCATCTCTCTCCAGCAGGGCTCTGGCTGCAGGCACCACAGTCCAGTCCAGGATCCCTCAGGCTCCCGTTTGTGTGCTCAGCCCCAGTACAAGGGGGTGGCTGCTGGAGAGCTGGCATGGCTTTCCAGGAGACACCTTCCCTGCATGGCTTGCCCAGACCCAGCTGCCTGCTCCCTTCTCCCTGTGCCTTAAAGCCAGGATGGATCTTCTCAATTCAGATAAGATTTTGATTCCTTCAGCAGCTCTGCTGATGCAGCTCAGGCCAGCCCACTGCTGATGCTACAGAATAAACTTCTTGACTCAAGGAGCTCCCAACAGAAAGGCACCACCACATCCCTCCTCTTCAGACCCCACTGGAGGAGGCCAGGGCTGCTCACCTGGCCACCTGGGAGGGGCTGCTGCTCCTTATCACAGACCAGGAATGGCTGCTCCAAGTGCAGCATGAGGTCCAGTGGCAGCAGGCAGGTGTTTTTTAAAGACAAAGGCTGGTACTGCAGTGTCAGGACATCGCTGGGTTTCTATGGAAACAGGAGACAAGGAAAAACAGCCTCAACTAGAAACAGACCTTCTTCTGCTTCTGCTGCAGCTCACATTTTTCAGCCTCACGAGTGCATATATTTCTATTTACTCTTTCTATTTGTTTCTACCCTTCCAGGAGGTTTTTCTTGACAGCAGATGCTTTTCATGTTTAGAAACCACAGCATCCTCTGGAGGACAGGGAAAACTCCCAAGTACAGATGAGGGAATAGGCCCCTGAGAGGAGGTGGCTGCTTGACCAAGATCTAAAGCAGAAAGTGAATCCAGGCCATTTGTCTCCAGTTTTGTCTCTCTATTGGGCAGAACAGCACTAGAGGATCTTCACTCACATACAGTCATTTCTCACAACCTTCCTGGCTCTAGCAGCCTCAAAAAGCACTTTGTCTGCACCACGTGTCCTGCAGCCCCTGCTACAGGGACAAGGTGTCTGTGGTCTCAAAGCTCTGATCAGCCTGGGCTCTTCCTTCCTGTCTGAGCATTGTGCTGGGCTTCCTGCATGGTTTAGAGAACCCAGAGACTTTGGGAAACGACTTCTGCATGTACTGATACCAAACAGGTGCTGTGCTATAGTATGCAATAAATCAGTTTGTGTGTGTGGCATCGAGCAGAACCCAGGCAGAATCAGGGAGAGCTGAAAAGCTTCTCAATTACATCTGAACTGCCTGTTCCAGGGATTCTGTACTTCACTGGAAGCCTGGGAACCAGAGGAGAGGCCTGAAACTACAGAAACCAAATCATTAACCATCTTCTCTTTTTCAGACAACTTGCAGGAGGCAGAAAGATGATGCTGGAGTTGGGATCCAGAGACTAAAGGGCACCTGCTCTGCCTCAGTGTTATCATCACTGCAGTTGCAGGATGCCTGGGGGTCCTTTGAAGCAGAGGAGGCTTAGGGAAATGCACAGAGCTGATCCATATAGCTGTACCATCAAGCATCCATGCCAACAGCAGAGAAGGCAAAGAGACACAGGAGATGTTGGGTTTTTCCTTGTCAGCCTGAGGAATTCACAGGAATCTCCAGTTTTCCCAGCTTCCCTACAGCACCAGTGTACAGACATCACCGTGCCTTGGAGGGTCCTCAAAAGCCTCCCTTTACAGTGAGCACAGAAACTGGCATTTCTCTGGGGTGGCCACCATCTCCTTGGCACTGCAGCTGGAACTGCACTTTTGCTTTGAGGAAGTCAAATACCAGTCTCATCTCTAAAAGCATCTTCACTCACTTTACAAAGTGCCTCAGGAAGGGTAAAGAGGGGCTTTAACACAAGCACACACCCCCCTCAGCCATGCTGTTAAAATGCCAGCATGCAATCCAGACTTACCTTCTCCACATAGAAAGAGAATTGTCTGGCTGATACTTCTATAGAGGGGTGAATGAACTGACAGGTAATGATTGTTTCTATTATCCTCTCCATCTTGGGGGATGTCCCAATGATGGCTTCACAGAACACATAATCCTGCACCTCCTGCAAGCAAGAGTCACTTGTCACCAGTGTGTAGTGGCAGGGCACCCTGCAAATGCCCTGCATTGGCTCTGCACCCACCACGGGCCCTATTCCTGCCACAGTTACAGTCCCTGCCCCCTTTTCTTCCCTTGCTCAATTGTCTGTAACACTGCACCCCAAAAGCACAAAAGGCACTTGTGAGAAACCCCCTCCCTTGACATGGCTTTTGTTTTACTCCGTGCTCACCCCAGATAAACCACTCGGCACTTGTTTAGTTCACTTTCTTTTTGGACTCCTAGTCTAAGTGTAACTTATTTCTCTGCCCTTCTTTGCTGACTCAGCATGCAACACTGCTTGCCCCAAAAGAGCAATATTTCCATCCACCCCTGCTTTGGGATCAGCACTGGGTTTTGGTAGCTGTGGAATCACAATAAAGTCTCAGCTGCTCTGATGGTGGCCAGCATGGAAAGCAACTGGTGCTGCCACAGAAACGAGTAGCCTTAAATCAGTTTTGTGAAGGCCCCTGCTCATTTCCCCAGGCAAATGTCAAGGGCTTGTGGAACAAGCCCAGAGGAGGGGATCTCACCTGTGGGATGCGGGAGAAGCCTCGCAGCACCATGTCCTCAGACTGGCCTGGCTGCAGGTCCATTGACAGTGGCTCCAGCCCAAACACGGGGCTGGCACGTTTGGGGTGCTGGGAATCATCCTTGGCCCTGGGGCTACTGAGGGTTGAGACACTCTGGCCCCCCTCCTCAGGTGGGCTGTAGCATTCCGCACTCCAGAAGAGCTGATGGTAACGGCGGCCCTTGTTTGTTACTTTGAACTGACGAAGACAGGGCACGAGGCTGGAATGGAAGGCAGGATGGAAAAGAGTATGAGAGTAGCTATTTCCCTGGTCATCAGATTGCTCCCAGTGAGCAACCTGAGGTGTTAATTGCTTAGAGACTGTCTTCATTTCCAGCTCTTAATGTGGACCAGAAGTGGTGTCTGATAAGGTGCCCTTTTGATGTCATTATTGCAAAGAGAAATATGTTTCTAATGGTAATGTAACATTTTCCAGGTGAGGCTAACAGGACGTGG